GTGTGATTGAACAAGAAATGTCTCCCATGGGCTCAGTAAGTGGCACTGTTTGGGAAGGTTAAGGAACCATTAGGGAGTAGAGCCTTGTTGGAAGTGTGTTATTGGGTTTGAAGGCCAGCAACAGGGAACTTTCTGTGCTCTCTCTGCTTCTCACATGCAGATGAAAATGTGACCAGCCACTGCCACCATGCTTTCACTGACTGTTGCCATCTTCCCCTCCACGAGGTCTCTCTCTCTCTCTCTCTCTCTCTCTCTCTCTCTCTCTCTCTCTCTCTCTCTCTCCCTCCCTCTCTCTCTCAAGTTGCTTTTGGTTATGGTGTCACATGACAGCAACAGAAAAGTAACCAATCTAGACATCTAATGCCTAGCTTGCATCCACTTAGCTCATCAGGGTATTTTTCCTTAATTTGAAATAGCAACTTTCCAGTTAGCACAGAAAAGAAAGGAGAGGAATAAGAAGAATGTGGCCATGTTTAAGGAAACCTTTTAAAAGCCTCATAGCATTCACAAATGTGTGATAAAATTCAAGTGCATTTGTGAAAACACCATAGTTTGTGTTTAAGTCCCCAGGGTCTCTCTTGATGGGCAACTCATTCTCCATCCCAGCCTCACCCCTATACCTCTGGTGATTAAGGTCTTTTTCCATCTCTGCTGTCCATCCTGGGTTGCCCACATCCCCTGCTCCTCTTTCTCCAGTCTTGAACTCCTGATACACCAAGGCAGGCCTTCTCACAGTAGGTTCCCTGCACCTTCAGCATCACCTAGAACCTGTTGGAAATATGCAATGTGGTCCAGTCCTGACATGCGGAGTTCACAGCACAGGGCAGGCTGGTCCATCGGCATGTAGCCAGCCACGTTTGTTCCGATTCTTTTCTCCTGGGGGAATCGCTGAGCTCAGAGGTCCAGCTTCCCACCCCCTCATTCTCAGGATGACTCACTGTGAATGCTGTGATCTCCAGTTACCTTAGTGTAGGAGTCCTGAAGTCTGTACCCAGCTTGAACTCCATACATGTGTGTATGTTCCTCAGCAGTCACTTTACCTGACTCATGCCTGCTCCCCTTTTGGTTTGGCAGAAATGCTCAGTTGGAGATGTACAAAGCAAAAGTAGGAACAGATAGGATGTAGGACTAAAATTATTGTTTTAAATAGAACAAATTAAGTGCATGCACCCCCCCCCACTTTGTGTGTGTGTGTTGTTGTTGTTGGAAATGGAATCCAGAGTCTGTCATCTGCTAAGCAAACACTCTACTATTGAAGTACACCCCAGTCCAAGATTAAGCTTTAACAATACAATGATCCCTTAGTATCCAAAGCGGGTTGGTTGGTTCTGAAACTTCATGAACACTAAAGTCCTCAGATCCTCAGGCTCTTGTAGGAATGGCGTCCCACATGCCTTATGGGATTGTGGTTCATCTATAGACTACTTAGGGTAGTCAATGCAATGTAATTCTATGTGATCCGTTGCACTGTGTGATCATGAAGTAACAATGAGGAAAAAGGCAGCAGTGTTCAAAACGTTGGCTGCATCCACAGGTGTAGAGCCCGTTGGTGACAAAGTATATGGTTTTTCTGAATTGCCATAACTGAAAGCAACATAAGAAGAAAAGGGCTTACTTTGGCCTACAGTTTCAGAGTGACAGAGCCCAACGTGGCAGGGATGCCATGGCAGCAGGAGCACAAAGTGACAGATCACATTACATCACCCATAGGAGGCAGAGAGAATGTGAGTGACGGCAGGAAGTGGGTTGAGGCCATAGGCTCCCAGAGCCCGCCCCAGTACTATACTTCCTCTAGCAAAGCTCTACCGCCTAAATGTTCCATAACCTCCCCAAGCAGCGCCACCTACTGAGGACCAAGTGTTTAAACACCTGAACCTGTGGGGTACTTTTCTCATTCAGACCACCACAGCAGGGCTGGCCGGATTAGAGTGTGTTTGAGTCACAGCACCTCAGAGGCTGTAGTCAGCAGTCTGAATGCCCACTCGTGCTGTGAGAATCTCAGACAGATCCTGGAACATGATACTTGGTCTGTGCAGGACACCTGCCGGTAGCCTGAAGAATCCCAGCATCCTTCAGGACTTCTTGCACTCACAGGTTGAGGAGCAGCCCTCTCCTTATTAGCTTCCAAACCAAGAATCCATTTTGTTATTGCTGTTTTGGGCCTAGAACTCACTATGTACACCAGGCTGGCCTTGAACTCAGAGATCCACTTACCCCTGCCTCCCAAGAGTGGTGGTTAAAGGCGTGCGCCACCATACCAGGATCGTTTGCTGTTTTGTTTGACAAGTTCTTGCTATGTAGCCCCCTGTTTGCCTGGGACTGCCAATCCTCCTGCCTCGGCCACCCAAGGGCTGAGGTTACAGGTGTGTGCTACCGTACCTGTGAAGGTATAGTTGTACCTAATAACTGATACTCCTAGCTGTCAATATAGGAAAAAAGTTAAAATTATAATGCTCTCCTAGTTCTTCTCTGGGTAGTTTAAAAACTTGAGGTGATCTTGGTGACATCAGACGAAGGCGTCATTGGGAGAGCCTAAGGCATTGCAGGCAGCTCGTGGTCGTAACACGTCCCAGGTATTTATCACTGGCCATTTGGTGCTTCATGTACCAAGCCATTCCACACTCCACATGGATGCTGTCATCCCTTCCTTCCACTGCTGTCCATTCATGACAGGATTGTTCCTGGATGCAATGTAAATGCAAGTTTCTTGCTTTATTGCACCATCTACTGGCACCCTTGTGGAACAACTTGCTTGTCACCAATGAAAAAGTTGAGTAGTTTTTCAAATCATGACTTGAGTGTTAAAAAAGTGAAAGTGTTGGGCGCACTGGCACAGGTCTATAATCCCAGAATTTTGGGGGGCAGAGGTAGGAGGATCATTGCAGGTTTGAGGCCAACCTGGCCTTCATAACGAGGTCCAGGCCAACCAGAGCTATGTAAGGAGACCCTATCTCAAAAAAAAAAATCATTATGAAGCTATTCTGTTTTTCAAACTGCTTTGCTTCAAGTGCCTTGGCATTTCTTATTAACTTTCTAAGACTAAGTGAGATTGTCTTTTTTTTTTCTTTCCCTACATATACCAGGTTAGTTTTGCCCCACCCATACCCCTAGTCCTCCAGCCTCAGCCTCCAGAATGCTGGTATTAACTGACATGCTCCCCCATACCCCAAATATGCCAACACTTTTAAAAAGAAAATTCCTTTCTCCCTTACCATGTTTACTGAATCTGGGACGTGTGGGTGTAATGGCCTGTGCTCTCCCCACTTTTAGAGACAGGGTTTCTCTGTGTGGCTTTGGAACCTGTCCTAGAACTTGCTCAGTAGCCCAGGCTGACTTCAAACACACAGAGATCTTCCTGCCTCTGCCTCCCGAGTGCTGGGATTAAAGTCGTGTGCCGCCACCACCACCAGGCATGGCTTGTTATTTTTAAGCCCAGCTAAAGTTGGTGGTCCAACTCTTTCTTTGCAGGCTGCTGGAAGGACACCTGGGTGCAATCTCATCCATTGAGTGAGGATTCTCACCTGGAGCAAGGACCAGGAGGAGGGGGTATTGGGCGGGGTCTCGAGGCCCCGCCCCACGCAAAACCGCCACCTGTGTGGCAGCCAATCAGGGCGCAGCACGTGTCTGCCTCGCCGTTAACCCAGAAGTCTCAGGTGGCAGCCCTGGGGGGCCTGTGTGGAGGGGCGGAGGGATCTGGCAGTTGGGGCTGTTGGCAGGTGCTGCGGAAGGTGCTGCAGCAGCAGTGTGAGGTGGTAGCAGCCGGGTACCCGCGAGAAGCCTGCCGTGTGAGGGGCTCAGGGGCTGCGGACCTAGGCGGGCTGAGCACGGGGGCAGGAGAGGACCGGACGCTGCTGGACCACAATTATCAGGGTCTGGAATTGAGCTGTGCCCACCTGTGCCTTGGCCTCGACAGACCTGTGCCCAGGCCTGATCCCCAACTAGGTCCTGGGCTTGGTCGCCATCTCTCTGTGTGTCTGTGGTTCCTACATCTCTCTCTGTTTGGGCTTCATCTGTACCTCTTTCTCTGTCTGGACCTTGTCCTCTCCTCTCACTGTTGAGGGCCCATTTGCCTCTTCTTGTTCCCAGCCTTATTTCCTCTTCTCCCAGGACGGAAGCCTGGTCCATGTCCCTCCTCCTGCCTGGCTTCCCTTCTCCTTGTTTCTGGGCCTCCTCCATGTGTCTCTCCGTGTCTGTGTCTGGGCCTGGTACCTACATCTCCATGACCAATCACGTAATCACATTTCTGCCTGCTGCAGTCCCCAGCCCTCTCTCCCTGCCTCTATAACTGGTTTTCCTACCAGCCTACCTGTCTTCCACATAGAACTCCAGTAATTGCCACTGCTGGTGTTACCACATCCAGAGAGAGCTGGCTAGGCTAGCTTACATGGTGCGCTCTGAGTTCATAGGGTGCCTTTGAGATCAAGCCACAGGGGCTTTTCTTACCCAAATATCCAACTCCTTGTGGGGTCCAGACCTCTGGAGATAAAGGGATCAATTCAAGAAAAGGTGATGTCTCTTGCAGTTGGCGCTACGGGGATGAGAGCCAGGGAACCACAAAATAGTGGGCAGGTGGTTTAGCGCCAAAAAGTTAGCTGGTAGGTGTTGGAGTTGAGTAGCCTTGTAGATTGGGGATACAAATTCCTCCAGGCAGGAATTTGAGGGCTCCAGATGTGGGGGCTGGAGGGAAAGTAAGGGGCGCTTTGGGATGGAAGAAAATTGGCACCTTAAATTATTGCCATCCTCTGTGAGTCCTCTGGTGGCATGGTCTGATGCTAGGCAGAACAGTGGCATCTTCTCCTCTGCTTTCTCTTGGTGCAAACTACCCACGTACCATGAAGTTAGCATCTTTGCCAGCCTTAAGCACTCCATGAAATGGCATTTTTTTCTTGCTAGCTGGAGCTAGTTTTGTCTGTAAGCTAGTGCCAGAGCTGTGTTGCTAGGTATGGAAGCTGTGTTTGAAGCTGTTCTCACTTGGCTGGGCCTCTGGCTCTTTCCCTCAGGAGTGTCCACACCAGCATCCAGACTGGGACATCTGTGGGACTGGAAGGAGGCCAAGCTGAAAACCTGAGCTGAGCTGACTAGGTGAGCCCAGGGAAGTTGTTGTAGGACCAACTTCTGCATGCTGGTCAGACAGCCCTGCAGCACTGGTTGTGTCGGGTCTGGGGCAGCGCAGGAGGAGACTTCCCTCTCCATAGAGCTTGCACCACCAGCGTGCAGTACATCCTTGCCAGTCAGAGGCAGCTCTGAGGACATCCCCTGTAGGTGGCCCCTGTTGAGCCCCTTACTGGTGCACTTTGGGATCCTTTAAATGTTACATCAGGTAGTCGTTGCCAGCAGGCCAAGCCCTGGACCCAGCACAAAGGAACAAACTGACGACACCCCAGGTGGAGTTGAAGTGGGGCACCTGGGCCTGTGGAAGGAGCTGTGGGGAAAAGATGAGGCTAGACAGTCATTGGCCCCGCCCTTAAAGGATGCACTAGGTTTCTTCAGTTCACAGAACAGAAAGCTGATCCCCGAGCCATGGGGTTGACAGTAGGTACCTGTGCTTAGCATGACACTTGACACTAGCCATGGTGTGCTGCACCTGACATAACCGTGTATGACGTGCTTTGAAAAGAGCTGGTCCACATGGTGCTTGCTCAAGGTTGAGGCTCTGGAGCCCGGATGACCCCATCTTCATCTTCTTCCCTGTGGTGGGTGATGAGCCTGCTGCTCACACCCACGTAGGACATAGGAGCAACTTGGAGAGAGACATCCCTGTAGTTTCTCCTGGTAGACCATGGCTAGGCATGCACATGTGGGGATAGGAATCTGAGAGATACAGGAGATGGGGTGCCTTGGGTTTGGGCAAGCTCCTTTCAGGATGTGGTTGGAACTGAAGAAGGGTTTGGAGGGAACCATGGGTCTGAGGAAGGACTCTCTGAGGTGCTAGAAATGCCCCTCTTCATTGAGTTATATTGGTGCGTGTGACACATAGACCCACCTGGGAAAGAAGGAACCTGTCCCAACACCACAATCCTCTGCACACTGGCTCCCTAAGTCTTAATCAAAATCTTTTTTATTATGTATGTATTATGTATCATTATGATTTATATGCATGTGTGAGATGCCTGCCTACCTGTGTGCATATGTGTGTACCTGGTGCCTGTGGAAGCCAGAGGAGGCCATCAGATCCCTCAGAACTGGTGGTTGTGAGCCATGGTGCTAGCCAAGCCCATGTCCACTACAAAAGCAGAAAGGGTTCTTGGCTGCTGAGCTACCTCTAGCCCCCTTGAAAACAAAGTATTTTATTACAGTACATTTCCACTTGAGCACTGCCATCTAGCACAGTGGACAGTCCCCAGTGCGTATCCGGTTTCCCTAAGAGTGCTATGTTGGGATACTAGCCCTGCATGCATGAAGCAAAGCCTTAATAGGAAAGATTCCACCATACAGAATTTGGGGCTTAAAATACTGGTGACAAAATGGTTGAATACACATGGACCCATTGAGCGCTATCTACAGTTATTTCCTCTCTGGCAGAAGATGACGGGCCGAGCCCGAGCCCGGGCCCGCGGCAGGGCCCGCGGTCAGGAGACGGTACAGCATGTTGGGGCTGCTGCGGTGAGTACCCACCTTTTCCAGCTCAGCAGTGTCTTGACACCCAGGCAGTGTGGCCTGTGGCAGGGAATTAAAAGACTTGTCCTAGAGCTCAGTGGTAGAGCACTTGTCCAGTATACAGGAGGCTCTGGGGTCCATCCGCAGCATATGTAACCTGGGAGCTGGGAGGAGTTAAGACCTTTTTTGGTGGGTCTCACTTAGATCCGCCCCCCTGCCCCTTTTTTGATTTTTCAAGACAGGGTTTCTCTGTAACAGCTCTAGCTGTCCTGGAACTCGCTCTATAGACCAGGCTGGCCTTGAACTCACAGAGATCCACCTGCCTTTCCTCCTGAGTGCTGGGGTTAAAGGTGTGCATCACCACTGCCTGACTCAGATCTCCTTTTAACAATCATATGCTTAATGACTAAGTTTCTGAATGCCGGGGACTAGTTTAGGACTGATGAGTTCTCTGGTGTCCACCCTGTGGCATACGGGAATTCAGTTGTGTTTATGCATAAGCAGAGCCAGCAGCCTGGGTGCATCCCACCGAGACCTCAGCAGTCACCCGCAGAGGGGGACTTGGTTGGCCGAGGACGACAGAGAGGAATGGTAGTTGGAGCCACGTCCAAATCACAAGGTAAGCAGGGAGGCAGGGAAGCACTGCCATGTGCAGGGTTCTGGGTGCTTCCACGAGGGCCCAGCACCAAGCTGCAGAGTGATGGCATGGATGCCACCACATGCAGGATGGAAATGAGACTGAAGTTTGCCAGGGCCATCTCAGCGACACACAATTAAACTTCAGACGTGGCCTGGGTATGCCTACATTTTTAGCATGTTTTCTTGCATCTGTAGTGGTTTCCTCACAGCCCTACTATGGGGTTGACTTACTGTGTCTTCACTTGTTTTGGGCTGGGCAGAGAATCAGCACAGGCAACTGCCAGCTCTCAGGCACTTTGCCAAAGTGTGCCCGGCTGCCAGCGGAGTGGGAAGTCTTGTCTTGGAGGGACATTTCTCCCCACATACATCTTCCTCCTCTGAAGGAGGGGAGATTGGTTTCTGGGAAGTCCACTAGTAGTTGCTGTTATAAGAGCCATACCCATGACTCCAGCTAGAATGCTACCACCAGACCACAAAGCCAGGGTTGTCCTGTGGCATGCTCTTGTTTTTAGGTCTCTGGCTGTGTACACACTGCACATGGAATGGCTTGGTAACTTTAGACTCCTAGGACTGTTTGCACAAAGATTGTTAGTGACCAGTGTGACCCAGTACGGGGGTGTACATGCCCCTACTGCTGGGTATAAGCAGAACTGAGAAGTCAGGAGGCTACCTGTCACACTCATGTATGTTCTCACCCAGGTTATAGAGTCAAAACCCTAACCCCTTGGCTCCCTGCAGCTGTAATTACAGCATGCCAGCCTACAGAGGACATGAAGGCTGTGAGACTCAGATTAGGAAAACCTATTTCCCAATCAACAAATCCATGCCTCAGATCCTGGTATCATATCCCAGGCACCTGGTCTGTTAGAGTGGCCAGAGCCAGGGTAGATAGCTCTGTGAAGGATGAGGTCACAAGATGGACAAGAGCGGGGTGCTTCTCCCACCTTGAGCCATTGGGAATACTGCCGTCCTCCAACCCAATCCAATCAGTGAGTTGCTTTCCTCTCTTCTGAAGAACTGCAGATCTCAGCTGGGTTTCAGGAGCTGTCATTGGCAGAGAGAGGCGGTCGTCGCCGAGACTTCCATGACCTTGGTGTGAACACCAGACAGAACCTTGACCATGTCAAAGAGTCGAAGACAGGTGGGCTCACAGAAGCACCTCTCCAGGGGGCATTCTTCATGTCACTGGGCTGTCATGCTCTGGCTCAGGGAGGAGGGGATGGTCTGCTCAGCAGCTGCAGCCTCTCCAGCCCCTCCCCTCTGTCTGTCTGTCTGTCTGTCTCTCTCTCTCTCTCTCTCTCTCTCTCTCTCACACACACACACACACACACACACACACAGCTGTGGCCACACATCTGGTGTACGTCTTAGCTGTGACTTCTGGCAGGTTTTGCTAAACATTTCATAAACCCCTTCTACAGAGATCTGTCATTTTTGTGGTGGGTATGTGGTCTTCCCTGAAGCTCCCCAGGGACAGCTGTCTTGAAGGCAAGTGCTGATCACTGTCCTCAGCTCTGCTGTGTCTGAAGGAAAGCTTTCATAGAGCATAACCATGCCAGGGACTGACTGTGTGTGGCGGCTCCTCAGGCTCCTCAGGCATCATCGTGAAGCTAAGCACCAACCACTTCCGGCTGACCTCACGCCCACAATGGGCCCTGTACCAGTACCACATCGACTATAATCCCCTGATGGAGGCCCGCAGGCTGCGCTCTGCACTGCTCTTCCAGCATGAAGACCTTATTGGAAGGTGTCATGCTTTTGATGGGACAATACTGTTTTTACCCAAGAGACTACAGCACAAGGTTATTTTCAAATGTCTCCACTGGCAGAGGGGTTGGGGGTGTCCACCTCAAAGCAAAGCTCAGAAAGGATCTGGAAGGGGCATAGGACCCCTCGAGGTCCTTTATGACTCACTGTGTCCTTGAGAAGGGCTGTGGAAAGTTACCTGAGGGCCGTCAGCTACTTGGCCAACTCTTAATCTGTGTTCGGGGGAACTTGTCTTAGTGCAGGGGCCGCAGGAGCCTGGACATGCTTTTCTCCACAGAAGGTAAGAGCTGGGTTCTCACCTCTCTGACTTTAGGTCACAGAAGTTTTCAGCCAGACTCGGAATGGGGAGCACGTGAGGATCACCATCACCCTGACCAACGAGCTGCCGCCCACCTCACCCACCTGCCTGCAGTTCTATAACATCATCTTCAGGAGGTGTGTGCCGCGGCAGCGTGTGTGCACCGTGGTTTGTGTTGGGGTGGGAGGTATTAGCATGTCTGCGCTACGTGGTCATTTTCAAATGTGGGTTTCTGACAGGAAGTTAATTTATCTGCCTCCAGGATTCTGCCCCTTCCCCAGCAGTGCTGACAGTATGCCTTGGAAATACTGTTTGAGCTGTTAGCACCTCGACTGCTCCTTCCCCAGGCCGGGTGGGCGGCTGCTGGGGCAGGGGGCAACCAAGTGGGAAGCAGCCAGCTTTTGGTGCACACAGTGCACTTTGCAAATAAGGAGACATGTTCTAGGAACTCAGGAGATGGCTGTGCAAGTGTGAGGACCTGGATTCAAATCCCCAGCACCCACAAAAAGTCAGGCATGACCATTTGCATGTAGCCTCAGTGCTGGGGGTGGGCAAGGCAGAGGCACTGGGCCTGCTGGCTGCCAGCCTAGCTCCAGGTTCACTGTAAGACCCTGCAAGGGGGTGAGTGAGGTGTGGAGAGGGATATTTGATGCCTTCCTTGCTTATGCATTGGGTACACACACCTGCACAAACCCCACACATAACACACACACACACACACACACACACACACACACACACACACACACACACACACACACACAAAGACATGGCCTACAGAAGACACCTCCCTGTGAGAAACCATCTAAATGAGGCAGCATTTGGGTTCATAATGTACTCCACTTCTAGATGGCTCACTGTGGAAGGATAGCTCACTGTGGAAGGATAGCTCACTGTGGAAGGATAGGATAGCTCACTGTGGAAGGATAGCTCACTGTGGAAGGATAGCTCACTGTGGAAGGATAGGATAGCTCACTGTGGAAGGATAGGATAGCTCACTGTGGAAGGATAGGATAGCTCACTGTGGAAGGATAGCTCACTGTGAGGAATACTTGACCCCAGGGAATGCATTTGCTTGGTGCATTTTTCTTCAAAGGAAAACTGCCCAGTTAGCACTAGTCAGCTGTTCACCCCTGCTTCTGCAGCTAGACACAGCCACAGACAGCATGCAGGTGGGTTATCCTGTTGCATCATGATAAAATGGAACCAATACAATTCAAATGTGTCTTGAATTTTTTCCAAGTTTTAGACATTTTAAGAATGTTAACTCCTAGGCAGTTTGGAAATGACTGGCCTGGCTAGGGGTGATAGCTTGCCACCCCTGCTGAATGTATGTGGCTCCAGGTAGCCCCTAGGATTTGCTGTGCTCACTCTTTTGACTTTCAATTTGTAGGCTCTTGAAAATCATGAATTTGCAACAAATAGGACGGAATTATTACAACCCAAGTGATCCGATTGATATTCCAAATCACAGGTTTGTAGAAAAGTTCACCATCCTTCAGGCTGTACAGACTTTGCAGTGTTCTATAAACTAGAAACAGCCTGTTGTTGGTGCTAATGAGTTAGGAAGTACGTAACCTGGCTTGAACGATGCAGATCATACCAGACTGCTTAGATTACAAATCAGGCCCATCCCAGGCAACAGCATGGACGGACCATGGACACTGCTGTCGGTCCTCAGCAGCAGCAGCTGAGGGTGCTGAGACATGGTGGCTCAGGGTGTTAGATGGCCCAAGGTAAGGGTGGGTTCAATCAGGTCAGAGTATAATTAGCAAGCTGAAGCTGAGGGAAGAGACAGGGCTCTGTCTAGAATCCTGTACTAGGAGGTGAGCTGGCTCTGCACTCTCTGCTTCAGACACGGGCGGGGGGGGGGGGGAGGGGAGGAAGCATGAGGCTGCACCTGACTCACCTTGTGTTGACAGGTTGGTGATCTGGCCTGGCTTCACGACGTCCATCCTCCAGTATGAGAACAACATCATGCTCTGCACGGATGTCAGCCACAAGGTCCTCCGCAGTGAGACTGTTCTGGACTTCATGTTCAACCTGTACCAGCAGACAGAGGAGCACAAGTTCCAGGAGCAAGTGTCAAAGGAGCTTATAGGCTTGATTGTCCTCACCAAGTAAGGCTCCATCTCAAGAGCCCGGGGCTAGAGAGTGGGACCGGGGGAGTCAGACAGAGGTGAACAGAAGGGAGCCAGATGTGTCGGATGTGTGGTACTTGTCTCTCCTGTGGTCACGTACGAAGGTCATGGCCTCCTGCTCTTCTCCCCTCTCCATTCCCTGTTTCCAGCCATTGTTTAGTCCCTCCCCCTGCCCTTCCCCATCACACATCTCCAGGGGGACTGGGAATGTGAGCTGGGGCCTCATGTCCCAGATGCCCACAGGTACAACAACAAGACCTACAGGGTGGATGACATTGACTGGGACCAGAATCCAAAGAGCACCTTCAAGAAGGCAGACGGCTCGGAGGTCAGCTTCCTGGAGTACTATAGGAAGGTAGGTCATCCCTTGGGTGGTGTCCAGGAGCACAGGCCCTGCTTAGTCTTGCCTGCATCACCGAGAAATTCCCCACGTGTCAGAAGCACCCTGCCCTAGCAGCTTTGTCCAGAAGAATGGTTGCATTTGATAGTGTATCTGGGACAGACAGGTACTGCCAGCGGTGGCAAGCAGCTTGCTGTGGTCCCTTGCCTGTAGCTTTTCCTGGCCTTTGCCAGCAGCTCCACTGTAGTGGGATCTCTTTTTCCAGCTCCTAGAGAGGTCTCCGTAAGGAATAGCTTGCTGCTTGGCAGATGACAGGAGACCAAGGGTCATCCCAGCACCTGTAGACTCCAGCACTACCTACCTGGATCCTGTGGCTGGATTCTAAGGAAATGGGGACAGGGAGACCTCAAACTCCTGCCATACTAGCCATGCATGTCTAGTGGTGTGTGAGGACAGTGTCTGAGGGAACATGAGCTTTTTTAAAACTCTAGTGGCTAGTTCTTTAAAGCAGAGTAAGCAAAGACATGTATCAGATTCTCTGATGGCATGGCTGACTGGTGACATTTTGCCCTAAGGTGGGCATTAAGACTAGACTAGCACAACTATGGCTCTTGGATGTGATGACACTCCTTTTGTGCTCAGTGAAAATATTTTAATCTAAATTAAATATTAAAATGGCTGTAGAATAAGCAGCTCGTGGTACAATAGATGACAGGAAAGAGCCTTCACACCCTGGGGCTGGGAGCATCATGACAGTAGTCTGAGAAGGCTGGTCTCCACAGCTAAGTCCTGAGGACTTGGTTACATGGAGCTCATCCACTTGGGAGAGCTGGGCCAGGCCCTCAGTGGGCGGAAAGAACTGGAGTACGAACACCGCCCCTCAGGACGGTGTGACACTGTATCTAACCCAGTTTGGGTCTCAGTTTCCCTTGTTAACTAGGCATCCACTGCACCCACCCATGAGCCACACTCCCTGGTTGGTGTGTAGCATGCCTTCCTTTCCTCCTGAGCAGCAGTACAACCAGGAAATCACGGACTTGAAGCAGCCAGTGCTGGTAAGCCAGCCCAAGCGGAGGAGAGGCCCCGGAGGCGCACTGCCTGGCCCAGCCATGCTCATCCCAGAGCTCTGTTACCTCACAGGTGCTTAGTGCTCCCCTCTTCTCTTCACTCACCCCTGTCTGCACCCACTGGGGGCACACAGTCTTGTTGACAGGCCCTCATCGGCCCTTCTCTGGTTGCAGGCCTGACTGATAAAATGCGCAATGATTTCAATGTGATGAAGGACCTGGCTGTGCACACACGACTGACCCCTGAGCAGCGGCAGCGGGAGGTGGGCCGCCTCATCGACTACATCCACAAGTAGGCCAGCTCGGCACTTGCTGCTGTTTTGGGTTCTCTATGGGTCTGGGAGGGATCTGGGAAGCAGGAAGTGTGGCCTCCTGTGTTGGTAGGGCTGTGGAGGGCTGTCCTGAGTTCCTGATACCAGTTCTTCTCAGGGAGCCAAGAAATGAAACTCCATATGCACATGTGTCCTCTCCAGTCCTGTCAGGGAAAGGCAGTGGGACGGAGCAGAGCAAGCAGTTCTTAGACACGCATTTCCCTGCTTGTGTAGACTGGCTCACTCATTGGGGCAGCCGTTTGGGCACTGGGACTGTTCAAGGGGTGGAAAGACGCTCATCTGTGTGTGTGTTCTAGGCCCGGGATGGCCTTGAAGTGTGCTGCAAGTCACAGTGGCACTCTGTCCACCGGAATGTGGGCGGCCAGCCTGACTGCTGCCTGCTCAGCAGTGCTGGCTCCGTGTGTTCAACTCACAGGGATGACAATGTGCAGAGGGAGCTTCGCGACTGGGGCCTGAGCTTTGACTCGAACTTGCTGTCCTTCTCAGGAAGAATCTTGCAATCTGAGAAGATCCACCAGGGTGGGAAGACGGTAAGGTTGGCGGGATGGTGTCTGGGCTAATTCTCACCAGAGCAGGAGACAGCCCACCATGCACCAGATGGCTCTTTGCAAACTCTGGGAAATCGCCAGAGCTACTTGATAGGGTCATTCTGCAAGAGGCAGCCCGTGACTCTAGTGCATGCAGAACCCAAAGCCCAGCCCTCAGGACAAGTGAAGATCTGCTAAAGGACTAAAAAGCTGAGAGGTGGTGGTGCACACCTTTAATCCCAGCATTTGGGTGGTAGAGGCAGGTGGATGAGTTCAAGGCTAGCTTGGCCTACAGAGTGAGTTCCAGAACCCAGGCAGGGCAGGGGTGGTGGTGAGGGGGGAGACTGAAGTAAGCAACAGGACTTGGGGTGCAGAAAGTCCTGCCAAGAAGTCCGGTTAGATTGGCTTTATCTCTGCCTGGGCCATGAGTCTCTCAGGAGTCATGCTAAATATTTAGAGTGTTTTCATGTTTTGTCCTCAGGAGAAGGCAAGACAGGGTTTCTCAAAAATAGTTTTATGAAATCAAATGCTTCAAATACCTACTCTTTTGAGCTGTTTCTAGCAATCCATACCATCCTGACCGAGGCAGGACTGAAAGATACAGTCTAGCAGGTGAAGCGCCAGAAGACTCACAGGGACCTTAGAAGCTCTGCGTATTTGCTGTAATGGTGACCACCAGAGGCTGTTCCTGAACTTGCTGTTGGCAGAGGACACCACCTACCATCGAGGGGCTCACCTCCCTTCCCTGCCCCACGCTGTGTAGACCAGGCTGGCCTCTACCACGTGGAGAGCTACTTGCCTCTCCCTCCTGATTGTTGGGATTAAAACAATGAGCCACCACCCCCAGTCTGAGTCTTAATTTGTATACCTTTAGTATAAGGAAAATGATACTTAAGTGTTTCAATAAGTCTTTGGGAGGAACGATGGAGAGTTTGTCCTGGGTACGCAGAAGAGTATGGTACAGGAAGATCCTCCAGCTGGATCTGTTGTCTTCTTTCCATTGGGGACTTGATCTGTCATTCTGATTCAAACTTAAGTGTGGTAGAATATGGCTCCAGATGTATGATGGGATTGTGCAAGACCAGTGTCTTCATCACAGCTGACAGTAGCATCTCTGCCCTTTATTCTAGTTTGATTACAACCCGCAGTTTGCAGACTGGTCCAAAGAAACAAGAGGCGCACCGCTGATCAGCGTGAAGCCACTGGATAACTGGCTGCTGATCTATACCCGCAGGAATTATGAAGCGGCCAACTCCCTGATCCAGAACCTGTTCAAAGTCACTCCGGCCATGGGCATCCAGATGAAAAAGGCGATCATGTAAGTGTCTGGGGCCAACTACTCTCCCGTCTGCAGAGTGATTGCAGTTATCAGAAGAGGGGGAGCATGTTCCAAAGTGATGCACCAGTGAGCTCATGACAGCTCTAAGATCGTCCATGGCTCTGCGTAACACAGAGGCATTGGATGGGAGAAAAGATCAGGCAGGGATGTTCTAGGGAGAAGTTCTTTAAACCAGGATGGTGGCACCGCTTGTTAGCCACACCCTTCCCTGAGCATCTAACCTGTGTCTGTACCATTTGGCACTGGTGCAGGGATGTTGACTGTGCTAAGGTCTGAGGGTTGCATACCGCCCATCGTTACTGTTGATCTTAGGATCGAGGTGGATGACAGAACAGAAGCTTACCTGAGAGCCTTGCAGCAGAAGGTGACATCAGACACTCAGATAGTAAGTAGCTGCTCGATGCAGACCGTGCTGGGACGGGGGTGGGGGTGCTCAGGGGACAGAGGACTGAGGTTTTGAGCTCAGGTGTTTTGACCTCAGTCAGGCTGCAGAGCTGATGCCCAGGTGGGTGTTGTGCCTTGCACAAGGTGAGAAGCCAGGGAGAAGGCCACCTTTGGCCTTGAGGCTCTGGTTCTAGAAGCTGTGGAGGTCACAGGGTGTGGTCAGCAGCCCGACTGCAGACCCCAGGGTGAGGCCAGTGTGCATGGGCTGCTGAGCACAGAGCATGCTGCCATGGGCACCTCTCCTGAGCTGGGGTGCCTTGACATTGGTGAGTGCCATCCTTCTGTCACGTGAGACTTGGCACCCAGGAGAGGAATGGTGACGAGGTAGGCTGGTGACAGCAGGTCCCATGTGTGCTTGCAGGAGTCCTCACAGTAGCGGTGTGAGTTGTGCCTGGAGAGAACACGGAGGTTGCAGTATTTGGGTTACCACTGGGAAGAACATCTTCCCGTCCTCACACTCCCCAGCACTAACTTCATCACAGTTTTAAACTGGTCTTGGAAGTGTAGACAGTCACCTGGGCCACTAATCCCAGGCATGCTGTCTGTGGCATCACTGTGCTGGGGCCCATGATCCCGTCACCTGGTGCTCCTACTCACACAAGGCACACCAGTTTGTGTGTTTCCTGAAAAAGCTGGTCCGCCTCGATCTGTGACCATGCTGCTGCTCATCTGGTTGCTGCTTGATCAGGGCCTTCATAAACAGAGTGGGGGAGGTCACTGAGCACCTCAGCAGTGTGGGTGGAGTCAGGGCTCCTGCAGCAACCAGGCTGGTATGAGCTCCTTACTGTCCTCACAGCAAGCTAAAGGTGGGAGACTGCCTACAAGGGAAGCACTCTGGGAAATTCATTCCACCCACTCCCCTCAGCCATGTGAGGGAGGGGGTCCTGCGTACTTGGACTTAGAAATTAGCCAGTTAACTGATATCTCTTCAAGTTTCCCATGAACATGCCCCACATTCTGATGTATTTTGCTGGTCTGTCTCCTCAAATCCTGAGGCCACCAGTACAGACCTCATTAGCCTGGGAGTTGGTAGCAATGGCTTTATAAAGTCATCGGCCTTCAATAATCAAACAAAACAGTTTCTGTGAAGCCAGTAACCGTTCCGGCTTAAGGCTGTGGTGACGGTGACCTGAAGCAAGTGGTGTGAAGCGGTCCCCATTGCCTTTGTACCTTAGTGGGAGCCTGTGAGGTACACGTGGTGGACAAAACAGGAGAATGGGCCTCCAGTGAAGGGGACACAGTGCTCTATGGCCGTGGTAAAGAGAAATTCATGAGTGGGAATGCACCATGGCCAGCTGCTGACAGGAGTATGTCTAGTCTTGCACTGGTCAGACTTATCACTGAGGCACATACTAGTGGGGAAAGACTGACTGTAGCTCATGTCTCAGAGTTTCTGCCCAGGATCACTTGGCTCCATGGCCTCTGGACTGGTGAAGCAGGGCATCCCATCAGGGAGGATGTGGAGACTCAGGGTTGCTTGCCCCAGAGCAGACAGAAAAGGGACCAGAGACTTCTTCATTGGTGACACAACCTACTTCCACCCAGCCTCGGCTCTTATCATTTCTGCCATCTCCCAATGTCACTAAGGCATGGCTCAGTAGGCAGATTAATTACCAACAGGGTCAGAACCCTGGATGTCCAGTCATGTGCCCAGATCCTACCTCTGAACACTGGTGCAGCAGAGTCCAAACCTTAAGCCAACGGAAGCTACCTTGAAGAGCCAGCTGGAAGCTTATATCTGGCTGCTGCAGAAGCAGTGAAGGGCACAGGAGCACCCATGCCCTCAGTAGTGTGTTCTTCCTGCTCAGGAGGTGCGGGAACAGGTTGTCCACATGGCTGGAGACCTGAACAGTGGCCTGCCATGTCCCAGCCACAGGCAGATAGATTGCTGCCATGACACCTCGAGTAATGTAGAGAGTACGTGGAACCTAGTTTGTTGGGGACCAGAGAGAATTGAAAAACAAGAGTCTGGGTGGACACTGGGAGCTGGAATTGTGAGTCACAAGCTGGATTTGACTTTAGCAGCTTGAATGCGGACCCTCAGAGTTTGGGCAATGGGAACACTCTGATCAGGGACCCTTTGTCCTCAGAATCGGCACATTTTTCCTGGGAAAGCTCACATTCTGTCCAGATTCCCGAGCCAGAGCTTTAGAGTTTATAGCCGTGGTTCTGAAGGAGCTGTGGGTTACGGCTCAGAGAGTTGCATGTCTGTCCACCCATGAGGCAAAGCTGTGCTGGCGTTCTGTTTGTCCTGAACCACTCTCACCAGTAGTGTGCCATGCCCTGGTCTCAGGTGGCAGTGGCTTTGTTTTACTGCCCAGGTTTTTTCTGCGCAGTGCCTCTCATTTAAGAGCCTGTCACTTAGAATAAACAATCAGCATTATAATGTTACTCCTGCCCTACTGATTAGCCACATGACTGAGCTGACAAGTGTCCTTTTCACCAAATGGCTCGTCTGTCCCTCTTGCTCTTGGTCTTCCGCACCCTGGTTCTCTGTAATGAGGTGCTTGGTTTGTTTTTAGGTCGTCTGTCTGTTGTCAAGTAATCGGAAGGACAAATACGATGCCATCAAAAAGTACCTGTGCACAGACTGCCCCACCCCAAGTCAGTGTGTGGTAGCCCGGACCCTGGGCAAGCAGCAAACAGTTATGGCCATCGCCACCAAGATCGCCCTGCAGATGAACTGCAAGATGGGTGGGGAGCTCTGGCGGGTGGACATGCCTGTGAGTCTTTCGTCGGAGACAGGGTGGTACTGTGTGGGCATTTAGGGAAAGGAGCCTTGCTCGTGGCTGCCAAAACCTGCCACAGCTAAATGACACTGTTTTCACTAAAGCTGAAGCTGGCGATGATTGTGGGCATCGACTGTTACCATGACACCACAGCTGGGCGGAGGTCCATCGCAGGATTCGTTGCCAGTATCAATGAAGGGATGACCCGGTGAGCCAGGGAGCAGCCGTGGCACCGTGAAGCATGGGACCGGCCTTCATGTCCCTGTCCTGCTACACTCAGCCTCACCATTCTGCTCTCTACCATGACCCTGTGACTGTAATCAAATGGCCAACTCTGAAAGTGCGGTGGTTTGGTAGATGGTCTTGGCCCATGGAATGTGTGTGACTCATGCTTTCAGTGTAACAGCCCAGGTCACTCAGTCCTCTGCTTTTCAATATTAGCTTATGGAATGTGTTTTATGGAATGAGGGAATAGCCCACAGCAGTGGAGTCTGGAGCCTGGCCACATGCTACTTGTAGATGTCGATGGCTGTGGCCTTGGTCTTGGGGAGCAAGGGGGAAGCATGGAAAGCCACATGGTCTGTCAGGAACACAGCAGCCAGCACTTGTGGTGGCTGGTGACCCCTCTGGTCACTCAGTTGTCCCTTGCTGAAGAAATTACACTGTTGCATTAGAATTTGGGAAACTGCCATGGGTGCCTTGAGAACAATCTCTTGCTCTCCTGCTTAGCTGAGAACTTCTGGGAATGTGGGGCAGATGGAAGGAATCTTCATAGAAAGATTCCTAGGAAGCCGGGAGCAGCTGAGTCTGGTGGACCCACGTCCTCACCACCCTGCTTTTTCCCCAACAGCTGGTTCTCCCGCTGCGTCTTTCAAGACCGTGGACAGGAACTGGTAGATGGCCTCAAGGTCTGCTTGCAAGGTGGGTGTGTGTACCCTTGTATCCTGACTGCGGCCTTTGGGCTGATCCTGAAAGTGGCTGGGAACTGGAAGAAATAGGTATTGTGTCTGAATGCAAAATCTACCTCACATTTTGCAGCTGCTCTGAGGGCTTGGAGTGGCTGCAATGAATATATGCCCAGCCGTGTCATTGTGTACCGGGACGGTGTAGGGGATGGACAGCTGAAGACCCTGGTCAATTATGAGGTCCCACAGTTCCTGGACTGTCTCAAGTCAGTCGGGAGAGGTTACAAGTAAGTTCATGGGTCAGACATGGCTGCCCACTCTGAAGTCAGTGTTGCTCAGTGGCAAGGAGACAGGTACATGGGCTTCATGGGAATTGGGCTGAAGGTAGGGATGGGTGCTGGAGACAGGGCTGAGCAGGCAGCCTTCCTGTTCCCTGACACTGGGTCTGGCTAAGTTATAGCTCGGCACTGCTCACCTCCTGTGGTTCGCTCAGGGTAGGGCACTTTCTGTGCTCCTCAGCAGCCCCTGCCGACACACCGCCCTGAGCTTCCTGATGTGAGCCCAGTCCAGGCAAGCAGATACTTTTGAAATTGAGCCCTGCGACTCACAGCACATGGACCCAGGACCCAGCTACGTCTGTGTTCTACCAAGAGCTGCAGGCAGCTGGCAGGGTTTGCCAACAGCAAGGCTTCACAGGCAGCTGGTGACATCTCTGGCAGGGCCCTGCTTCTCCTGTAAAGTCTTTGCCTGCTCATTGCCACCGTGTTGTGAAAGAGAAGCCCCTAGTGTGGGCCACATGAGCCTCATGCCCAAGGCCTCAGGAGCTGCCAATCACTGAAGGATGAGCAGTTTATACTGAGTAGTGTGCTCTTAGGACCTCACTTTGCCTGAGAATGGGGGTCAGTCATGTCTGAGCTTGGGAGGAGCTGATGTTATCTGGATCAGGGCTGCCAATCATGTTAGATGCAGCCTCATTCTGCAGTCTGATTCACTGACTTCCATGTGGATTGTGTATGCACAAGTGACAGTCCCAAGGAGTTTAAGAGGAGCATCTCAAGAGGTTGGAGGGTGAGGTGCTGAGTCTTCTGGAAGACTGCTCACTGCCCCTAGGGAGAAGAACTGCCTCGAGGCCTCGCGCTCTGGCTGTGTATCTAACGATCCTTTACTATGAGCAATGCAGGGGAAGCTGGTGGTAGTGTGTACATGCCTTTGAACCCACTCTCCTAGACAGGTCTCACAGTAGAAAATGCCTGCTGTAGTACTGACACCAAGTACTTAGGAAACGGGACAAAGGCAGTGTTCTGACGTGACAGGCATAGTAGACTCAGTCTGTGCCTGTCATGGGGCCCACAAGAGACATATGATTATCCACCTCCAGGTTACTCCTGGCCTTTGGTCTATCCTGGAGATAGGTTCTGACCCTCCTCCAGCATGCAGTGAGATGATGGGTCAAGAGGGTGGGGACTCTTCCCTAAGGGATGCGTGAGCATGTGACTTCTTGCCTAGACAGGCCACCAACTCAGCATGGCCATGTTCCTCCTTGTCCTCAGCCCAAGACTGACCGTGATTGTGGTGAAGAAGCGTGTCAATGCCAGGTTTTTTGCACAGTCTGGGGGAAGACTCCAGAACCCTCTTCCAGGGACAGTCATCGATGTAGAGGTCACTAGGCCAGAGTGGTAAGTTCTGGGGCCTCATGACTATCAACGTTAGCTTGTTTGTTTTCAGTTCCTGATGCTGTGTTTCTTAGAAGTCCCAGTTCTTCAGCTAAGCTGGTCCTGACATGCTCCCTAAAGGCCAGGATTCTCAGTGTTGAGACCCCAGGAGGTAGCACCCTCTGGCTGGTTCCTTGATAGTTGAGAGGTTTCTTGTGTGTGGCATTTCAGACTTTAGGAACAGCTTCTGCAGGCAGCATCTATACTTTGAAATATATAACCCATCCATAGATTGTTCCTCCTAGATTTTTAGATGTGTGGTGCTTGGTCAGGGTGATGAGAGGGTCTATGTGTCAGCAGCTCCGTAGCCTGCAGCCGACTTCAAAGTTAGAAAGCATGAGGGAGCTAGGCTGGCACAGCAGGCAGGCTCAACCTTATAGGTAGACAGATGTGCATCGCTGGTGACCGACACCACCTCACTTCTGGGCTTGGGATGGCTGTCCAAGAAGGTAGCTTTGTCCCTGGGGCATAGCAGTTTACCACCCATTCTGCAGCCTCCTTTGTTCTAGAGTGTGAGGCTGTAGAAGACTTCCAGCATTGCAGGTTAGGACTGGGAACCTCCTTAATGCCACCACATTCTCTGACTCAAATGTACAAGTTGTTGCTAACAGTAGAGCAACACTGAAAACCACATTGGTTGCTTAACTCTCCAGGGTAAGGCACATGCTCCAAAATCTGAACTCTGAAGCATTTGTGGGCCCTGGCATCCCAGAGATGGTCACAAAAATGTTTTGGTGCTGTCTTCTCAGCTATGTGATTGAATTAGGGGGTTTATTTTGAAATACACAATTTTTGGATTTTTCTTTTGTTCAGAGGTTGCGTATGGAATTGATTCTGGAGGAGTTCTGTGACTTCAGGAACAAAGTAGGGCAAACATAAGGTGGATGCCCAGAGAGGGCCAGTCTTTGTCTGAGGCCTCTCTCGCCCTTCACAGAGCCTAGTGTTGTCACTGAGTGTTCAGGCCACTAGACAAGAAGAGGGTTGGTAGCCTATGAGCTTAAGGACAACACCCATGTGAGTTAAGAGTAGAAGACATGTATTCTCACCAGATACCACTCAAGCATCTGTGAGAGCCACTCAAGCCCTTGGAGCCAATGGCAGGGACCTTTGGAGGTGGCAGTTTGGATGCTACACACATAGACCTCCCTCTTGGTCAGAGCTCCTCTGTTCCTGGCAGGCACATCACTGAGTGTGTGACTCTCGTTCTCTTCCAAACAGACTCAGTGTAGACTCCTTCTGGTTTCTGGTTATCTAGTTAGGTGTCAGTATTTCAGGGTTAGTTTCCTTTTTCCAGTAGGGTCAGATCACAGGAGCCTTCTGACTGGCACTCTTTGGTGGGTGCCAGGGAACAAAGACCTCTGCTGGATGTCTGGTTTCCCAGTATGCAGTTAGCTTGGGTTCTCACAACTGTACAGTTGCTCTACCTCGGACTCTTGCACCTTTGTTCTGAGCCTCAGTGATTAAATGTTTGCATTGCTGTTACTAAGATGGGCGCACAGGGAGGAAACTGGTTCTGCCATTTTCTGTGCCACTGCTGTGTGCCCATGTGTGGGAGTTCACTCCCGCCCTCCAGCATGCAGGGACCCAAGGCCCAGGAGTGTGGACAGCAAACTCTGTGGCTTTGGCGTGCTGACACATGGAAACAAGAGTCTTCTGCACACGCTGCCATGGTGGCTCATGAAGAGCCTGTCCTGGACGTTGTGGACACACTGGGACTGGAGGAAAAAGGAGGTTGTTTAGAGCACAGGTTTTTCCTCATAAAAAGTGCATGCCCTTGCCTTGCCTGGCTCTTCCCGCCTTTCCAGGTATGACTTTTTCATCGTGAGCCAGGCAGTAAGGAGTGGGAGTGTCTCCCCAACACACTACAATGTCATCTATGACAGCAGTGGCCTGAAGCCCGACCACATCCAGCGGCTGACCTACAAGCTCTGCCATGTGTACTACAATTGGCCTGTGAGTTTCAGCAGCACTGTTCAGGGCCCTAGTCAGGACCACCTGCCCTGCTGAGCCTGCTGTGGTAGGGCCCCTGGGAGTCCCACCCAGCTCAACCCAGTGACTGGCCCTCTTTCCCCCCACAGGGAGTCATCCGAGTCCCTGCACCCTGCCAGTATGCACATAAGCTGGCCTTCCTTGTGGGCCAGAGCATCCACAGAGAACCGAACCTCTCCCTGTCCAACCGCCTCTACTACCTCTAACCAACAGCGAGGGCCTGCACGCTGGCTTCCTTCTGGAACTCTGCCAATCCTTCCACTTCTACTTTTCACACAATTATCCTTCTAGTGGGGTGTTGGGGAGGGGTTGGGGAGCCACAGTTTTGTTTCTAGTGTTGGTATGTAGTAGCTATAGATTTAGCTAAGGTTTAATGTTTGCTTTGTTTCTCATAGTGTGTTGGGACAGTTGGCTTGGCAGAGCATTGGCAAGGCCCTTGGACCACAAATAGACTTTCCTAAAGCAGCCGTGCTGGCAGGTTCTCAGAGGTGTTCCTGGGAGCACATCCTACCAAACGCTGCTAACTTTGTTTTGTGCACATTTGAGTTTAAAGGAGGAAAAGAGTTAAGGCAAGAATACCCGCAGCATCGTAGTCAGGTGCTGTGTGGTCTCTGACACCTCAAGGCTTACAGGTAAAGGCTGGGTGCCTTTCATTATTTCTTTTAAGAGTTAGGTCATAAAGAATGAAAAGAGTTGTTGAAGAGGCTGGCAAGGCTGATGGAAAAGTAGTGAATGTTATTTGTTTGTTTTGCAATTTTCTTATCAAGTAAAATTAGAGCCCATTGCTTTATTTAACAGGGTAGTTTTTGGTTTTTTCTTTTTTTTTTTTCTTTTTTGAGACAGGGTTTCTCTGTGTATCTTTGACTGTACTGGAACTCACTCTGTAGACCAGACTGGTCTCGAGCTCAGAGATCTGCCTGCCTCTGTCTCCCGAGTATTGGGATTAAAGGTGTTCACCACCACGCCTGGCTAGTTTTTTTTTTGTTTTTGAACTAGTGGAGATCTCTCATGGGTAAAATTCCACCCTGAATGTAAATGTGTCTAGTGTGGTGGACATGCCTGTGGTCTCGGCACTCGGGAAGTGAAACCGGAGAACCCCAAGTTCACAGTTAGCCTAGGCTATGTGGTGAGACCTTCACCAAAAGACAAATAGATGTATGGGTTATGGGTGCCAGTGTCTGCATGAGCTATGGGAGCAACAACTGCATCTGTCCCTGGGGTCTGCAGGGCTGCAGCCTGTGAGACAGGCAGGCCACACCAGGTGTGACAACATCCATTTGTCTGGCTCTTTTGCAAAGAGGAGGCTTGCAGTTCTGCATGTCGTGAGAGCAGCTTGAAGTGTGGCTACTGTGAGATTTACTCATCCGTGATGTGTGTGCCCCTGGCACAGCTCAATAAAGTTTCCGTCTCACTTTCTCTGCGATGCCTCTCAGACCTGGCCTTATTGATGCTCTGTCAATGAAAAGCATTTTGTCTCCTTACAGTTCTGAAAGATAACTCCTGTGTCTGGCATCAGAGGGAGACACTCTGACTGTCAGGCCCTGAGAAGGGAAGGACAGTATCAGTGTCAAACTCAGATCAGGATGCCTGACAGGCCAGCACAGCTTCATTCTCCGGGGATTGGAGGGAAGGCTACAGTGTCCTCAGAGCTACAATATACTCTGATCGCCATTTCCAGAAATGGCATGCCATGGCTGTAGGTGCTCAGATGGTTCTCAAAGATGCCTGGCTCTTGTCCATCCCTGATGCCCCTACCCAGTGTCCCCGGCTGTTGTCTCTTGACCTGGGTTCTAGGTTATACTAAGAATCAGGACTTGGACAGATACATATGATTTGTCCAGAGATAATAGGGCAGGGATGGACTGGCTTGGTATACAGGGTCTGGCCTATCTTGCCTTTGCCTTTGGTACAGGTGGACTCCCTCAAACAAGGTGTGCAAGGTAGTAAGCCTCACCCCAAGAAAAAAATACTCCTTTGGTAGGGTGGGAGAGCCAACCCGGAGGTTTCCCTGGGGACCCAAACTCCCAGGGTAGCATAGCCACCCAGAGAGGGCCACCCTGCCTTGGCTCTGTGGTGGGGCCCTGCTGCAGGGCTCCTCCCAGGGTGGTTCTTCATGCTAACAGGAGACCCTGCCTTTCCGTTACCATAGTTGTCAGGGTTAGAGGCTAGATATTTACCAGCCCTGCCAAGCTGGGCTCATTCACATCACCCAAAGACCAATGAAGCAGGCAAGTTAGTGAAAAACCACAAAAGGGAGAATTACTCAGTGTGGCCACCCAGAAAGAGAAAGAGCCAGTAACCGGAAGCCATCCTCAGGGTGTCAGACACAGGATCTGGAAGTAAGGTTCAAACAGAGGGCAAGGGGTTTGCATAGCTAAGCTTGTATGGCCAGGGTGTCACCCCCACCATTGCCTGGGCCTCATTCTTCCTGCAAGGTATTCGGACAGGTTGTCAGAAAGTCATGAGATTTCTTTCTAGGCCACAAGCTCACCCTGGCTGGCACCTGTGTCCTATCCTTCTCCTTCCCCCACCATGAGACTCCTTAGACAAATTCTGCTTTCCAGGGTTCCACTGTTTTCTTTTGTAGTCAGTTTTTTTAACCAGATGTGAGGTTTACATCTGAAATGCCAGCTATGGGGAAGCTGAGGCTAAGAGGATTACTATGAGTCTAAAGCTAGCCCAGACCTGTGCCCCAAACAATAAAGACTTTCTGTATGGTCGTCAGCAGGGATTGCTACATGTCTTGATCTGGGGCCACACACAGAACACCTGTTCATTCCCAAAAGGCCACTAACAGACCAAGGAAGTCATTCCATCTGGGTCCACGGGTGAGCCAGGGTGTGTACTGGGCTTTCTTACAGGTGTGCACGGGTGAGCCAGGGTGAGCATTGGGGTTTCTTACAGGTGTGCATGGGTGACTCAAAGGCAGCTGCACCACCGGAAGCTCTCCCAGCCTGGTGAGACTCTTCAAAATTGCTTCAGTCCCAGCCCCAGTTAGCCATCCGTCATCTCTGCACTAGGTGTAGCACCCCACAAATAACATGTATCCTGGGGGTCAGGATGGTGTAGTAGCTGGAATTCATGACATCACAGCCAATCCACAGAAACAAGCACCCAGAGATGCAGCTTCACGCCGTGCCAGTCAGCACATCCTTCCCACCAGCATGCCAATCCCACTGACCCGTGATCCTGCCTCGGCTCCACACCAGCCTCCCGTGGTAGGGGTAACGCTGGCCAAACAGCATGCGCGGGTAGATTGGCATCTTGTGTGAATTATTAGGTTTCCTAGCTCTCAATACCTGGTAGTAAAGGGTTCTTTATGACTGCGTGTGTTTTAGGGCTGACCCCTTGGGGTTGTGTAACCTGGCTTGCCTTGTTCCTGGGGAAAACTGCTCGCCCTCTCTAAGCAGCCATCGATTGCTTGTCGCTCTTCATGTAGGGGTGGTGCCTGTGAGCTTTCCCCACCCACGCTGGCTTGTCACCTGGGGGTGTCATCGTGCAGGTCCCACTTAGGTGACAGCTTCCCTGTTGTTTATAGAAGACACCGTCTCACAGCAGATGTCCTGGTCCTCCGGCTCTTGAAGTCTTTCCACCCCACCCCCTTTCTTGATGTTCCCTGGGCCCTGGGTAGAGGAGCCGTATTGTAGATGTATCAGCTGGGGATCAGGTACCCCATGGTCATTTGTTCTCTGCATTTTAATGAGTTGTGGCTTTCTGAGGGGTGAGAGCTACTTATCTGTGGCGATATGGGTTAGCATTTAGACTGCAGTTAAGAATCATGTCTGTTTAGGGAAGAGGCAGCAGTTAGCCTGTAATACCCGGCAAGGACTCCCTCCTAGGGAGTGGGCCTTAATTATCTTACTGCCCCCCCCCCACCCTACCCTTTCTTCTCTCAGCTCTCAGAAGCTAAGGCTCTGTGATGTTCTTGTCACAGACAGCACTGGGTCCTGGCTTGGTCTGTTCTGTCTTCTGTGGGCCGACTAGATTTTTCTTACCTGATAGTACAGATGACCCCGGCACACCCTTCCTTTTCCTGCAGGGACGGGTATAGAGGAGAAATACACCGGGGGGGGGGAGCCCCTCTTTTAGCCTATCACTCCTGGTGGTCATTCCTTCAGATAGCCCAAGTCTCCCCTTGCTCCATGCTGTACCCAGAAGTCATGGGCATGATAGAGTCAGACACTGACAGAAACAGACACAGAGCTCTGGCCAGAGGCAGAGCAGCTGCTGCATTTGTGACCAGAGTGGTACCTTCTTTCTAAGGAAACTGTCACCAAGGAGAACAGAGTGTCACCAGAGACTGCCGGGTTCTTGAGACAGAATTCATTACCCAAATCTGACATGAATTCAACAGTCCGTGGGAAGACACTCTGGGAGGCCCAGATCTGAGCACAATGGCAGGGATGCCTGGGACTCAGCCTTCTCCATCCTCTCCCTACTGCAAGAAGCAGATTATGATGGTCCACTTCCAGGACCAGGTACATTCAGAGCTCAGCAGACAAGCAGACAAGCAGGAGGCACTGGACCTCCCGTCTTCCCCAGCGGGCAGCTGCTGTGTGCTTGTCTGGGCCTCAGTTCATCCTGGGTTGAAAAGTTACAGGCAGAACACGCTATCTGAGTAGGAGGGACTCTCAAGCCCCAGGGTATAAGACAAGGCCTTGCATCCCAGACCAATGGGACCCAGAACCCAGGAAGGGGGTGATAGTAGACACACAGGGGATTTCACCTCCACAAAGAACCCAGCCAGTGAGGGGTTCAGGGGGCCAGGAAAAACTGGGAATATAAAAACCATCCCTTGGTGTCTAGGCTGAAGCCCTGCTTTGCAAGGTGGGAAAATGAATGTCATTGTGGCTACTGAGCCTCTGAGGGACAAGCAGGAGGAGGTGACTGAGCAAGGGAGGGCTGGCATCGATGCCACTTCTCCCAGGACTGTGTGTGGGAAAGTGAACACCGTGTCACAGGAAGTGTCTCGCTCATCCATCCTTGATTACATCTCTTTCCTAAGTTGGAATCCTGGAATCAGTCCATTTAGAGGGCATGCACATGTGTTAGGTACGGATTCTGCCGCGTCAGCAGCGTGGCCATGCGGGAGCCTCTGTCCTTGGCTGAGTGACTCCGAGCTAGAAGGTGCTGTACTACAGTTTGTGTTCCTTTAACCAGTGATGTGGGAGTGTCTGTATTTTATGAACTCACTTTTGATAATTTTTGATGAAGCTTAAAGCAGTAGGAAAGGCGTTTCTGTGTATGATATCTCCCAAAAGGATACTGGCTTTAGACTTTCAGCTCAGTGAGGTTGTGGTGGATTGAGGCAGGGAGGAGCCTCAATCATGATAAACTTATATAGTCATTTTCAAGCAAGAGGTTGGGGGAGAAAGTTCAACCTAGCTCATTATCAAACTTTGATTTGTCTCTGATTTTTTTTGGGGGGTGGGTTGTAAATGTTATCATAAAGGTTGAATAAGTATGGTTCCCCTTCCTTGTGGACCTGAAGGGATTTGACTCTGTATGGAAATGCTTGTGGACCTGTTGGAGATGGTGTTAGGAAAAGTTTAACTGAGAGGAAGAGACCTGCCCTAAGCTGGGCAGAACCACCTCATGGGCTGAGGATGAGGAATAGCATTGTCTCTCTGCAGCCCAATGGGATATAAGGGAATGTTAGCGTGGTGTGGCTAGTTGCCTCACCGCCGATGCACCCCTAGGCGGTGGCCAGAGAATACCCTTCAGAGCAGCCAGGAAAGTTACCAGTATAGAGAACATTTATCCTAGAGGTCTTGGCTGGTTTTCCCTATTTTGAGAATTTTGTTTAAATGCAGTAACAGTATAATTCTACATGAATAACATTGCAGCAGTGGCTGTGATTACATAATTGTGCGGTCAGATTTAAAGTGATGGATTTGAACTGTTATTTTCATCTTGCCATAAACAGCCTGGTTTTCTCTCCTACTCAGAACAATTCTTGTTGAGGATTGAGCCTAAAACTGTCTCATGTGTTCAGGGCTTGACTGCCATCTGAGGGGCTCTTGGGAAGTGCCTGGATGGGGAGGGTGACAGTTTCGAGTCAGTTCATAGCTAAACAGGCCCTTAGAAGCCAGGATTGGCTGGAGAAAGTGGGTCCATGGGAAGGTGGCTTTTTGGGGAGTGCCTGTCCCCTGGTTCCCTGTGCTTCCTGGTCACACTGAGGAGAGCAGTCTTTTCTTGACCATGCCCTTCCGAAATCTTACCTCATCCCAACAGACTGGAGTCTGCAAGGGAGACCCCTACAGAGCTATGTGGCAAGTCAGGCCGCATTTCAAATGTGTTGAGTCAGAGCAGTTCTTCATTAACATCCCTAGAAAAGGTATGGGGGTGGGGGACTGCTAAGCAGTTGGTTTGAATCCGCAATTCAACAGATTCCTGAGGTCTGTGTGCATGTCTCTAGTAAGACTAATCACTGCTGTTTTCAACCGGGCGTTGGTGGAAGATGCCTTTAATCCCAGCACTCGGGAGGCAGAGGCAGGCGGATCTCTGTGAGTTCGAGGCCAGCCTGGTCTACAAAGTGAGTTCCAGACAGCCTCCAAAGCGACAGAGAAACCCTGTCTTGAAACCCCTCCCCCCAAAAAAACACTGCTGTTTTCCCATGAAGATTGCCACCAAAAGTGTCACACAAATGACTCCTAGAACAAGGTCCAAATTCATATTTTTAATTAGTCCCAGAAAATCCAAGCCCGTGGAGTTCTTTATAGACATGGAGCAGAAAGGAACTCTGTTCCTCTGCCATGGTAAGAGTATTTAAAATAAAGATGCAGAGTACATGGCATTGTACAAAATAACAAAGTTTATTTCTAGAAAATATGTCACCCTAACTGTACACATGCACACATCCACACAGCACTTCACACACTGAGGAAACAGCCTTTTAATCAATCTACCACATACAATTGTATTACAATTTACAATATAGTTTTTGAAGACACAATGGGGAAAGCTTTGCCATTCATTTATAAACCTTCCAGAAATTACAAAAGAAAGGCAGTCTGAAAAGTGTGTATAAAGAGTAAAAACAGTTTACAGTGGACAGGAATTACAAAGTGGTGACTGTCACACCTGCCAGCATCTTGGGAGGCTTGCTGTTCAAGGCTAGTGATGAAGGTACGTGTGGGGCTGTGTTTGAGAGATTTCAGTTTAGGCTCAGCCTGGTCTGGCTAACGAAGCGTGTGGTGGCTTTGCTGTGTGTGCTGTTGGTGGGTTTATCAGGGCAAGGCATTTCAACAAACAATGAAAGTAACAGAAATCTAAAAGCCACAGGATGGGACACTGAACGCAAAGCTTGTCAGCTCTCTGGCTGGCTGGCTAAGGGACATGCATGCTGCTGGGCGCTCCCTCTCCTTGGCTCTTGAGTGTGGTAGGATAAGTAAACATGTCCTGTGTGGTGCTGGCTGGCTTTGAAAGACCGAGGCAGGCATCTGAAAATGTAGGGCCTAGGCCACTGGGATGTGAAGCCACTGTGTCAGAGAGGATGGAGCCAGGAATGCACAACACATGCGAAGTATACACGGCGTTTTTATTCGACAGTACAAACCACTGTGCAGTTATAAGGCAGAACATCAAGGCGAATTAAACTAGGAATTTCAAGACCAGAGTGGAAATGACAGTAATGCATAATGAGGCAAGCATCTTGAGAAGTGGGGGAGGTCAGAAATCCTGTAAGGGCTGATGTCAAGTGTGTACAGGCTGGAACTGCAGGTAGGGGGCGCTGTAGAGAGCCTGCCCTCCCCTGCTGCTCAGCCAGCTGCCCCTCCCACCTCCCGCCCTAGACCTTGAATAGAACCTTGGGAGTGGAGAAGGAGGGGACCACAAAGCAGCCCCTCCCTTATCTCTCCGATGGTATTACGTGTATGGTAGTGTAAGAGTGCATCTCTCTACTGCTTTGGGGGCGGGGGAGGTCGAGGTTGGGTTTTGGGAGTCATGAAAGCCCTAGTTTGGAATTAAAGCAAGTGACATGGATTTGGAATTGTCCGGAGGCTCACGGGTCACTTCACCGCACCCAGCCTTTTCAGCAGTTTCTTGCCTCTGGAGAGCAGCCCTTTTTTCTTTTTCGAGGACATTTCCCTGCCTCTCCCAGGACTACCAGAACCCATAGATGACGTAGGTGACCCCGAATGGAGATGGGCTGTGGGGGATGGAGCTCTCCTTGCTGTCCCTGAACCCTCGGGAGGAACCTAGTAGGTACATTGCGACAGTTTTATTGAGTGTGTCAGTGCCAACAACAATTCACTCGGTAACGCGTACTGCCCCATCTCCCGCCAGCCAGGGGAAAGGGTGGGTGGTTCGTTTCTTCTTTCAATTTTAAAGTATGCCATGAGAAGCCCACGCCCGCTCCCAAGGCCCCTCAGAGAGAGGCTGGCCTCCATGGGCTTTCGCTGTCTTTGTCTTGGGAGACGGGGTGGCCATCGCTTTGGCAAAGAAAGCCAGGTCATAATTTACTCTGAAAATTCAGACTAAAAGCAGGGGAAGTTATTGTCAATCAGACGGATAGGCAAGGTGGCCGAGTACCCATCAATCATCGTAAAGCCAAAGCTCTCAGTGGGAATTTGGATGGACCGTGAACTAGGCAAGAGATAAGAAGGAAGACCCTGCCGTGTGGAGTGAGCCCTTGGGTCAGGTAGAGTCAGTCCTACAGAAACTTTGGGGATGGCACACTGTTTGAAAGAAAAAAAGCTGAAATGAACCTTAATCGCAATCTAAGGAAGCTCAAAGGCCCTTCTTGAACACTCTGACCGTTTCCAAATAGAGCAGTGTGTTTTCCCCAGCACATGTTGGGTTTTGAGAGACTTTTAGGTGGAAAAAAAACGCCAACCAACAGTGCTTTGGAGTGGTGGAATTTGATTCAGGGACAGAGTACCAATTTTAAGTGATTCTGGAGCTAGGCATATACCTGAGCATGGCCAATAATCACCAGGCCTCTCTAACACCCCAGAGTAAAACTTGGCAAGTGAAAGCTGGGCCCTTGGTGGGCATATGGACTGTACAAGGCAAGGGGGGCCCCAAGCTTGCTTGGATTTAAAAATCAAGGTCTAACTCTAATGGAGAACACCTAGGTGCACCCCAAAGCACACCTGAAGATACCATGGGGCCAGCTAGTGCAATCATGGGAGCTGCCAAGTCAGGAGACAGTATTGCATTGGTATGCCGGCACCTCTCTCCCCTCCGTGAGGGCTGAACAGTTGTGCTTTGAGGAGAGGGAACACCTGCTCCTAAGGCCGAGCTGCTGCAGCTGGGTGTTCCAGCCAGCTTTTGGCATGCCCGGAGCCAAGGCTGCCCCTCGCTGGGGGAGTGATCTGGGATCAAAGTTTTGTCTTGGCTATTAGTCTTTGAGTCAAACTTGCTTACAGTAAACACACGGATCAGGTTGTGCTTTTACTGAGGGTGGCTAACAATGCAATAGGCAGCTTTCCTTGTGAGTACACACTGGCGCACTCTGTAAACAAACGGCTTTAAGAAATATGCTCCCAAGGTTGGCCTTTCCCATATTCTCAATGGACATATTTAAAAATGATTGTTGGAGATGATTGGTTTCACTATGAATCCAGTTGTCTGCAACTGAGACCAGGTGAGATAACCTATAATACTTTAGGTCCAATGGGTTTTTTGAGACATATTTCTTTTCTCTCTTTCTTTAAGCCCACATTGAAGTCTTAAGACTACCACGCTGTCCGCTTAGGGTAGCTTAAGCCGGTATCTCTCTAAGGTGTCTTCGGTTGCTCACTTACGTGAAGGCTACATGCCTGATTAGGGTGTGAAATGAACACTCTTCTTCTATGTCCAAGCAGATGAGCGAAGAGATAAAAACATATACGTAAAATACAACAGATAAGAACTCGCAGTGATGGCGAAACGTAAAGATGAGACACTCAAGAGAATGCAGTCTCAGGCAGGCGTGCTACGCTACAGAAGCCCTGCCAGCTAGAGCCCTAAGGGGGCGGCAGTGGCATTCAGGTCCCCGAACCTCACTCTCTGTCAGCTGAACTGTGCACCTATCTTGGAGGCCAGGGCAGGCCTTGGAGTCAGGCAGACTGACTGAAACCAAAGGGTCCTTCTGTGGGACACCAACTTACAAGCTGGAGCTAAGCGTTTGTGGGCACAATGCCCAAAGAAGGACAGAGGGGGGAAAATCAGGGTAGATGCTGGTGGGGCCCAAGTCATGAAAGCAGCAATGCAAAGATTGCGCCAGACCGCAGAGAGGGGAAGAGGGAGGCAGGCAGGCGGGCAGGCTAAGGGGGCTGGCTTACCCTTTTGGCCTTGGAGCGCATGGGTGGGTCTTGGGAATAGTGGGAGGGAGCATCAGAAAGGTGGACCTCCACATCATCAGGCACTTCTTCCAGGAAGTTGGAAGGCACGAGGCCTTTCTGCCCATTCAGCTCTCCCTGTAAACAAAGGGTGGGGGAAGGGTCAAGGGAGCCACTTCTTTTTCCAGAGCCTATTTCTCCTGTAAGGACACCCTAAGAGGTCTGATGTGACCAGTCAATTCCGCTAAAAGTGGCAGGGCTTGAATGAATGTTGGGTAAGCACTCTCCCCAGAGTCTGCACCATGAAAAGCCCAGTCCTGAGCGAGGTATGAAATCACATCCCAGGCCAGCGCTCTGCTGCTGAGCTGAGCCGCACCCCCAGTCCTCTTAGTTATTTTGAAACAGGGTCTCAGTTATCCAGGCCAGCCTTGAACTCACAACCCTCCCGGGAAGTGGGAACTTCAGTCCTCTACAGGTCTTATTCTGGCCTATCAAGTGCAGCTCGTTTTAGGACTGAGGAGTAGATCTTATTTCAGCTCTGCCTGGAGCCGCTCCTTGGTTCTTAAGCCCCAAATCCTCTAGGGCTGGAGAATGACTCCATGGTGAAGCACTTGCTGGTGTCTGCATTCCACTGAGCCAGTTTGGGATACTGAGGGAGTTCAAGGCCAACCTCGGCAACTTGGCAAGATCCTATATCAAAATCAAAATGGCTGAGGGTGTTAAGACAGTGGGAGCTTGTAACAGCAGTGACCCCAGCCAATGCCACTCCTTGAAGGATCCAAAAGGACAAAGAAGGTTTTCCTCCTTATATATGAGCGTGTTGTTGCTGTAAAAATTGAATCAACAAGGTGGAGAGGAGTGTGCACCCCGGCAGACCTCTGCTTAAAGTGGTAGAAACGCTTGCAGCTGTGTTCACGCAACTGTGTTCACACACCTGCACACATCAGGTTAGTGGGGAGTTCGGTGAGTGCAATTCCCCAGCAGTCACACCACTCAATCCCCAGGGCTCCCAACACCAGCCTGCCTGCAAGTGCGCACACCAAGTTCAAACTTGGCTGGTAGGGCACCTCATGCCTGGTGGAACTCCAGCATTATGCTGACCCTGTGCTTCCCCCCCCCGGCCCATGACGGGCAGGGCACTCACAGTCACTCCTTGCGTGACTCAGTGCCCATGTGTGGCTTCCCCTTTTAAAGCTCCGTGCCATTCTCCTCCCCTCCCCCCTCCCATTGGCCCCTTCTCCTCTCTACCAATAAACTCCATGTAGGACTGTTGACTCAGCTCACGGTTTCTGTTTCATTACCAGTAACTAGCAAAATAACACCACCAGCTACTTGGGAGGGTGCAGCAGGAGGACTGCTTGGGACTAGCCCGGGCAAAACAGCATATTCTCCGCTCCAAAACAAAACAAACTTGGCTGGTCCTGACAACACGGGGTTGTGTTTCTTCATTGATGGTCTAGGACCCCAATCGCCTACCTCAAAGAACTTGCAAGCATTACAGTGCACAACCAGTATTGTACATAATGATAGGCCCAAGGGAGGGATATGTAGTTATATTGGTTTTTCTGCAAGAGGTTACTAACCGGAATATGTAAAGAACAGCAGCCACACAAAGACATCTAAAAATGGGCATTTCTTCAAATGAATAGACAAATGGCCAAAAGCCATTTGGGAAGATCACAACACCACTCATCACAGGGCAAACACAAATTATACTACAGGGGGGATCAGCAGGTAAGGTGCCTGCCATCAGAATGACGACCAGAGTTCAATCTCTGGACCCACTGCACTGAGCAGAAGGAGAGAACAAACTCCAAGTTCTCTCTGACCTCCACATGGCATCTGCTGCCCACCCTACCCCTGCAGATACAAAAAGTAAAAATCACATACGTGAACCCTACGCCATCAGGATGAGTGTAGGGAGAGATCTTAGGTACCTGTAGCCACTGATCACACCCAAAGTCACAGGTACATGGGAGAGGGCGGGGACATAAAGAGCTAGGAGGATGAGTCTTGGAGACCAGCAGAGCGCTGACCTCAAGCTCTCGGCTTCTCATGTAAGCGACTTCTCCCTAATAAAGTATCATACGACATCCCTTCCTGTATACTTAGTGTAGTTTACTATTCCTCTTCAGATGAGAATGGTTAAGAACTTCCCGGGAGCTCCCCAAACCAGGAAACAACATTGGGGAGGGTGTGGAGACTGGACCCACACGCAGCACTGGTGGGAATGCAGTGACATAGCTGCTGTGCAGCAGTGTGGTGGGGTCCCCCTCAGGGTGTGCACCTCAAAACCTGGAGACGGGTCTCAGAAAGCCGCACGCGCTATGTTTATGCCTACATCATCTGCACCAGCCAAAAGCCAAACACAACCAACACGTCTACTGTAGATGAATGGATCAACATAGGCATGCCACAGCATAGTCAGACTTAGGAGGAAACCCCATTCTGACACAACCATGCATGCCGAATTGAACCGGGTGCTGTGAAAGTGATTCTTCAAGGATTTCTGGGTAAGCTGCTAGGCGGGAAGTCTTACCACCAAAACCCGAGAAACAAAAAGAGCTCAGTGTGCCCTCCTGGAAGAGACAAGCAGCTTGTGAAGCCTGGGAAATCCCTGCGGGGAAGCAGAGCTCAGCTGGAAGCCCTCTTTACACCAGCCTGCCTGCCAATCAAGTTGCCCGGAGACAGCAGCACAAACTGCAAGGGAAAAGCTGCTCCCTGAACACACTCCACCTGCAGGGACAGAAGAGGCCAGGGTGGGCCCACGGGTCCAAGAGAACTACCGAGAAAGGACAAGTTCCCATTCCTCAACCAGAACACTGAGGCCACAGAGATGACTGACTCCCACAGGTCCCTCCTGCACACAGCAATGGAAGCCTTCTAGAGCCAGAGGGATCGGAGAACTTCCCCTGTCAACTCAGCACAACTAGGCCAGCAAGCCAAACTGTAAATGTTCTTTGTTATTTTCTATTACATAATTTCCAACCTTGCAAATGCATGTACATAGCGTTGCTTTTGCCTGTGTACTGCTCATATTTGAAGATGTCTATTTTACACCCCCACCCAAGTTTACTAATTTTACTTTCTCAGCCATACCTCACACACTCCCTACATCTTTCTTCTCCCCTTCTTAGATTTAACACTCTCTAAGATCTGTGAACCCTAACAATATGCCAGCTTCTCCCTCCTTCCACTTTATCCATCTCATTTTTTTCAAAGTCAACTTAATACCTAATCATTTTCCCTCTTACCATACGGCCCTCCCACTCCCAATCTCATTAAATGAACCTATGTGCACTCCATACTCCTTAGTTATCTTCTAACAGTGGTTGACACCTCAAGGGCCCCGGTTAACTGGAGAGTCTGACAGCTGTGGGGTAGCAATACCCAGTAGCCGTGGTGGTTTTCCTGGTTAATACGCCACCCAGGGAATAATACAGAGCCCCAAGCATTCATAGCTCCTGGACTGAGAAGTTATTTATGAACTACACAATCAACTGTACCAATCTTGCATGTTAAAAATACAGCAGCTGAAAGAAAATAGCAAATTTGAAAGAACTAAGCAACAAGAATAAGATGCATAAATCCCATCATGGTGACATAAAAAACATGAAAAACAAAGACACAGAACCCCTCCAAAAATCACTAATCCTGCAGCAGTGCCATCTAGTGAGAATGAGTTAAATGAAATCCCAGACACACAACTCAGTATCACAATCATAGGGATGTTCAAAACCCAGACATCCAGAGAAAATAAGGAGGGTGATGGACAGCGTGAAAAGGGATTCAACAAAGAAATGCTGAAGAAAACTGCATCTGAAGTACCAGAAATTGAAAAAAAGCACCATGAAAAGTCTCATTGACAGAACAGATGAAGGACAGAATATTTGAGCCTGAAGACAAGGTAGGAAAAAAAATGGAACTATCCAGCAAGGACAATGATAAAATACTGAGCTACACAATCTATCCTAAGTGGGAATTCTAAAACATAAGTGACACCCTAAGGAGATCAAATCTTTGGATTATAGGCATAGGAAGAAGAAAATCTGGCTCTAAAGGTATAGAAAGCATTTTCAAAACTTACAGTTCTCCAGAGTTAGGGAGAGAGGCTCAACCGGACCCCAAAGACAGACCAGAGAACCTCCCTCATGTTTCAATCAAAACACTAAATATACAGAACAATAAAGGGATGTTCAAGAGAACAACACCAAGTCGCAAATAACACAGACCCGTCAGAGTAATAGCAGATGTGGCAATTGATGTCTTAGAATTGGGCTGGTCTGGAAAATGCATTTCAGGTTCTGAAAGGCAACTTGGCCAACTCAGACTCCTACACACAGTAGGGGGATCTGTCATGATCACAGTTGAAACATTCCCTGTTGAAGACTGAAGGAATTTGTGACCACTAAGCTGACCCTACAGATAATATTTGAAGGAATCCTTCAGACTGAGGAGAGAAACAAATCCACCATGAGACTTTGAAGAACTACCAACCACACTGCGGTAACACTAAGAAAAACTAAACACTGCTAAATCAACGAAATGGCAGGAATAAGCACACAGCTTTCAGTAGCAACTCCAGGTGAATTGAGATCATTAGAATCCAATCAAAAGACACAGACTTGTAAATTGGATTGAAACAACACATGAAGCATCTATTTGTTGCCTCAAAAAATGCACCTTATCAAAAAAGTCCAATGCTGCCTTCGGGCAGAAGGATGGAAAGCATGGTCCAAACAAATGGGAACTAGAAAAAGCAAAACAAAACAAAACACAGCTGTTGCTTCTCTAATAGCTGACAAAATAGATGTGAACCAAACTAGTAAGATAGTGAAGGTGACTTAATACTAAGGGAGCAATCTTCAAGAGGACATCACCATTTACACATTCCTGAACACAGGAGCATCCAAGTTCATAAGTACTGCTAAGATGTCACAGAATAATTCCAGCACAGTAACAGTGGCTGACAGGTTGTTTTGATAGAAAAACATCTGAATTAAATGACACCATAGATCAAATGGACTCAATTGACACCTATAGAACATTCTATCCAAAAACTCTGGAATGCATATTGTTCTCAAAAACCCATGAAACTTGGTTTAAAACATATATCACACAATGCAAATCTGAACAAATACAGGAAAACTGAAGTAATTCCTTGTATCCTCTCTGATCACAGTGGAGTAAGACAGATCAACAGCAAGATGAACCCTGGAGCATACACAAGTTCACGAAGATTAAACAACATACAATTGAATGATGAATGAGGAATCAAAATGGAAATGAAAGCATCCCTAAAATCAAATGAAAATGAAAACATAACATGCCAGCAGCTCTGGGATACAACAAAGGCAGTCTTAGAAGGGCAGTTTGTAGCTACATTTAGGCCTACATCAAGAAATCAGAGTGCTCTTAAGTGAATACCTTCACAAGACACCTGAAAACTCTAGAAAAGGATCATGCCAAATCAGCAAATGGAAAGAAATAATTAGATCTGGGCAGCAATTAATGAAATGGAAAAAGATGCAAAGAGTCAATGACCAGAGAGTTGGTTCTTTGAAGAAAGGAGCAAGGTTCACAAACCCTTAGCCAACAGAAAGCAAGGAAAGACCCAAATTAGAGATGGGAAGGGAGCCATTATGACAGATACCAATGAGTGTCAGAAAATCATTGAATATTACCTTAGAAACCATATATTCCAATAAACTGGATGAATATGACCCATCAGAATAAAACAGGATTAGATAAACAATTTAATTAGATCTGTAACAGTGAGACTAAAGCAATGATTAAAATCTCCCAACATAAAAAAAAGTCCAGGCCCAGATGGATTCACTGGTGAATCTTACCAGATCTTCAAAGAAGAGTAAGACCAACATTTCTCAAACTATTCCTTAAAATACAAAAGGAACATTGCCAAGGTCTTTTAAAGAAGCTAGTATGACAGAGGTACCAAAAGCAGAAAAATATGCAATGCAGAGGAAAATAGCAGCACAATTTCTCTGATGAATACAAATGCTAAAATTCTCAACAAAATATTTACAAACCAAATTCAAGAGCCTTCTTATATGCTAATGAGGAGTGTATGAAGAAAGAAAGCAAAAAAACAACCCAACTTAGTGTATATATATGCATGCATATGTACACACATATATGCATATATGCACATATATATTCCATAGTTAATCAGTTAATAAAAAAGATCATTGACCATGACCCAGTTGGGTTTGTTCCAGAGATGCAGGATATTGTCAAGGAGAGGAATCACATGGTCATTTTAATAGATGCAGAAAAGGCTTTTGACAAAGTATAACACCCTACATATTAAGTCCTGGAGACATGTGGAATTAAAGACAAATGTCTTTTATAAAACCTGCACATAACAAACCTACAGCCAGAATTATATTAAATGGGAAAAACTTCAAAGTATTTTCATTAAGACCAGGAACAAGGCAAGGGTATCCGTTTCTCTATTTCATATGGTGTTGAAAGTCTTAGCTAGAGCAACGAGATAAGGAAACAAAGATTTGGGAAAAGAAGAGGTCAGAGTGTCTCTGTGGTAGATGTCATGATCCTGTATGTGAGAAACCCCAGGACTCCAACAGGAAACTCCCTACAGTTGATAAGAACCACCAGAAGAGTGGCAGAATGCAAATTAAAATACAAAACTTAGTAGCCTTCCCATGCAGTAGTGAGGAGTGTACTAAGAAATCAGGAAAACAAGCCTGTTCATCTTACATGCATGTATATATGTATGTATGTATGTATATATATGCTTATGCATATATTCCTATATGTGCATATATATTCCACAGTCAACGGGTTAATGATAAAAAATTTAGTAAACTAAATCAGGACTCTGTATCAGGAAGATAGATGTCTACTCTGTGTAGACACGCCTGCTACTGAAGTGTTATGAAAGTAAGACAGCAAGTGGAGGTGACAGCTATAAACATCAGAGACTAACAGTCATCGTTTGGAGCACTCAAGAGAATCAGCTGATGACAACAGATATGCATTCAAGACAGTAGTTCATGGAGAATACACACATCCTCAAGAGGGATTCAGTGCCGCCACAGTCATCTGCAGCCAGGCCTGGAGGCACAAGTCTGTGACGGAGCCACTCAGGACAGCATAGCGAGACTGTGTCTCAAAATGAAAAAGTAAGCTAAAGTCTGGGGATATAGCTCAAGGGTAGAGAATAGCAGTAAGATCCATAAATTCTTAAGACTGATTTAAAGACACGGTTTAAAAAGGAGTAAAAACTTCTTATTCTTTAGCTAGATGACAGGAAGTGTAGTCACTGTCACACAGACTTGATAGTTTTCCCTGAACCTAACCTAAATATGGCATATGATTTCACTAAACAGAGATATAAGGGTTTGCTGGAGGGGCAAGGTTCACTACAAAAGTATTCCCCTGAATATATTATAAAATGTGTTATAAAAATACAGAGTTTGAAAGAGCAGAGCCAAGAACTACAGTCTATGTAGTCCTCCATACAAGTTGAATTTAGCATATATGATACGGATGCATTGTGTGAGTATATGCAACATGTGTGCAAAGCCAATTGAGGAGAGTAGAAGAGGGAGCTGGAGTTATAGGCAGTTGTGAGCCACCAGGCGAGGGTGCTTGGAACCAAACCTGGGTCCTCTGCAAGAGAAGCAGGTATGGTTAACCTCTAAACCAGCTCTACGGCTGCAGGACAGGTTACTATAGAAATCATCTTTATAATGCTCTAACTCAGAAAAAAAACTAAACATAGCCATAAGTTAGCATGTGAATACTAAGCACAGAACTGAAGAAGTAAGACTAAAACTAACTCACTGTGATGAGCCTTCTACACACCATCCACAAAGACAATGGACTGAGACCTCATACAAAGCCATAGAACAAAGCTGCTCTCACAGTGAAACGCTAATGAGCAGACACCGTGACCTACAGAAAGACATTATCACTCTGTGCAAGGCTATCCCACCAAAACCCACACGGGGGCATAGAAAGTTCACCAAAATCTACAGGGTAGTGTGGCTATCCCACCAAAACTTGCTGTGAAATCTTGGTGGCTCAAAGGGTCAGAGCTCTAAAACCCTGCACGCCTCAGGCTGTGGAGGGGGACCCTCTGGGGCCATCCACCACTGCATGGAAAGGCAAGACTTCCAAGTATGTTCAGGAGGCCATAGAGGGGGATGGGGAGCAGCCTCACAGCGTGGCCACAGGTGGGGGGGCATGAAGAGGACATCCAATTACAGAAGCAGGAAGTTATAACTCCACCTTCCATATGCCCTCCCCTATTCGTTAGACAGCTGTAGAACAGGAGGGCAGCAGCATGGCTGGCACAGGGACTGGGCAGGAAGGGTAACTCTGGTGTCTGGCTGCGGGTGAAGGGAGTGCTATGAAGCCAGGGCTGGTCTACCTGAGGGTTTGGCTATGAGTGAGGGGAGGTGTGGGGAGGTGTGTGAAGCTGGGGCTTCTCCACATGTTTGTTTCTACATCCTATTCTCCAGGAAAGAAACCCCAGCACCCAGGCCATAAATAACCTAGAAAATCAAATTGTTCTGTAAATGTTTGGATGGTGGCAATTTTGTGTTTGCTTTGTCTGTGGTTTGTAGACACAGAAAATACTATAATTAGTAGAGAACAACAAGAGACCACAATACTAGCTTCCTTCCCTTCCTCCTCCTTTCCCCCTCTCCCTCCCTCCCCTTCTCTCCCCTTCCCTCCCTTTCTCCTTTTCTCTCATTGTTTCCTTCTCCCCCATGTTTCTTCCAGTTTTGAAACAGGATCTAGCTGCAGAGCCCAGGCTTGCCTTGAACTTATAATTCTCCTGCCTCATCTTCCCAAGTACCAGGGTTACAGCCATGTGTCACTGTGTCACTGTGGCCCCCAGACTTCTGTATCATATACAAAAGAGAACTCAGCTCAGAGAGGCAGCGAGCCAGGCAAGTGCTTCAGAACATGACGCGTGCCCTGCACAGCTTACGTGTTAATTTAAGAGGGAGCAAACCCACAAGATGGGACCCACAAGACGAACGGCATTTCTTGATGTTCCAAAAAACTTACGTAATAAAATCCATCTTCATCGATTTCACCAAAAACGGTAATAATGTCTCCCGTGCAGAATGGAAGTTCAGCCTGCAAAACAGAAGACAGGGCTAAGAGAAGAGCCTGGATTCTTCCCGCTGTTCGGGAATTAACCTGACTTTTCAACTAGGTCAAGGCATGGGGTGCAAAGCTGAGGGATGGCGGTGGACGTGTGCTCAAAGCTGGGCAAGGGTCTGTTCTAAGTAAGCCCCAGAGGAACAGTAGGTTAAAGGTCACTGCCACCTCCTGGCAATGCACAGGACATCTAGACGCATGGTAACTCTATACAGTTGGAAGATTGGGCAACATCCCTGGAGAGCGAGGACCATCGGTAAACACCCTCTCAGCACCAAGAAAATCGCCCAGCCCCACCATCAATTCATCACCAATCTGTCAAGTATCAGATCCCAGTCTGGGGAGAGCAGAGAGTGGTGAACCCAAGCCCCTGTGTCCAGGAGTCAAACTGTCCTTAGACCCTTCTTCGGACCAGAGCCCAGCAGAAGGGAGAAACAAAGCTAGCTGGGGATAAATACGAATAGGGCTGTGTCTCTGGTAAGAGTGAAGTGATAAGGTCCCCCAGCCAACAGCTGATAAACCAACCTGTGGGTAGGAATCCAGATCAATCTGGTTTGGGGTGGGGGACTCTGGAGGCAAAGACCTCAGCCTTATTTCTGAGGTTTTTTTCCTTATTTCTGATCATGTTCTGCCTGTGTGCCATGGGGTGCCTGGCTACCCCAGACACCAAGAACACTAGCCCTCCCTCTCATCTTTCATATCCATGTGTGGGACCGTCATCAGCCTCTCGCTAAAAGGGACTCCATATTGCCATGCCCAATAAGTGTGGGACGTGTGTTGCTCTTCCAATATATATACATTCTCAGCAGCAAACCTGTGCACTATGCTGGATCACGATGACTCCTAGCTGGGTAGGATGGGGTGGAGGAAGTTTGTGGGTGTGGCTAAGAATGGCCATTTGCTCACTTATCATTGACTTCTGGAGTTTCCACTGGCATCCTTGGACCTCGGTTGTCCATGGGTAACTAAAAAATGTGGACCTGTGTTCTGTGGCTGGCTGCGAGCCAGAGCATGTGACTGCCATCATCTCTGGAGTGGCTTGTCACTGAACCTCCCTTTCTACAATGCTCAGACAAGGGTGAGACCTAAAGGCACATGGCCTAAAGATGGTGCCCATGGGAAGCTTAGCCAGGAAGACACTGGTAGCAGCTCCAGGTCAGCATGAAAGAAGTTTGGCTGGTACCTCAACATCCACGTTGGGGGAGCTTTCCCTTGGGTCATAGTCATAGAGAGCCACCATTCTTCGTGTGGGCACAGAGTGACCCCGGCCACTTCTTCTACTTCTCTCTGCAAAACCATAAGATCCAGCTGTGAAGATCCCCAAATCGGTGGTGACTCCACTCAGTGCCCAAAGGGTGTGTGTGTGTAAGCTGCTAATATCCCCAGGTTGGGAGAACTGTCTCAGCCTCCAGTGCTTAATGCTTTTTTTTCTAGACTGTTCACCCTCACAGTAACATTCTTCCTTGTGTCTACCATACCACAGGGGCTCCATGAAGTAGGGGACCATCCTCCCAAAATGAACCCAAGTGGCCTGAGGCACCAGGTGGACCAGGTGGCTATGACTTGGGAAAGCCTAGTAGGCACCTGGGGGTTCTGACCATTGCTCCGAGAAAAAGCCACAGCTATCCCTCTTTCCTGGAGTGAAGATTGAAGCTCTTAAGACTCACAAAGCTAAGGAAACTTACAAGGCTCAGAACACTCGGAAATTTACGGGATTCACAAGGCCCCTCCCCAAGCTTCTGAAGCTGTGAATAATTGCTAGTGAACAAGACTCTTGGTAGAGTCACCTTCTAGGTATGCAGGGGCTCTAGGGGTACAGTTCCGGTGAGTTATCACATATGTTGGGGGTAGTGTCTTCGAGTCACCAAGAGTAGCACTGCCAGGTGGCAGCTTTGAATCACCAAAGGCAAGGTAAACACAGTTACCATAATGGACAGCGCAGGCAAAATAATGCCTACAATGGCCTGACTTTGGGGATAGGCTAATTAATCATGGTGTTTCTTGGAACAAAATAGATAAGCCCACCCAGCTTCTGTTTGATCTGTATAAGCAGAGAAACTCAAAAACAAATGAAAGGAAGGGTTATATTGGAACATACTAACAGAGAATCACAGTCCATCAACCAGTTTCCAGAGTTGAGCTAATTACAGATTCAGGGCCCCTTGAATAAAGGGAAGGCAAATAAATAAATGGATGGATGGATGAGGGGGGGTAGGCTGGTCCCACAAGGAAGGGTCATGTCACGATACTGACCAGTTCTACTGTCACCCTTCCTCCCATCCTTCCTAGTTTATTAATCTAACTGTACAGTGCGTGGAGGGAACCTCGACTGAGGATTTGCCTCTATCAGATTGGCCTGTGAGCATGTCTGTGGGGGGCATCTGTCCTGATTGATGATTAATATACGGATGGGGAACAGCCCTCTGTGGGCAGTGACACCCCTGGGCACTAGGTTGTAAAGAAAGCAGGCTGAGTAAGCCAGTAAGTAGCAGTCTACTATGGTCCCAACATAGCTTCTGTCAATGCTGGAAATAAACCCTTTCCTACAAGTCATTTTTGATGTTTTACCACAACAAAAAGCAAACGAGAACAAGAAGACTTTTAGCTGCACTTCCTCCATCAGGTGTGTGTGTGTGTGTGTGTGTGTGTGTGTGTGTGCATGCACACACGCATGCCATATTAGGATATGTGAATGCTCCTAAAGCATGTAGGTGTATTGCAGTACTGCCTTGCAGAGTGAGTTTTGCCCAACAAGAAGGGAAGGGGTCGCAAATCCTTAGAGGTACTGTGTGGCCTGTGCTTCTGGGGGCTGCAGCCCCCTCCCCATGGATTACTGCAAAGTATAAGCGCGGCAGAGCCTGAGGGACTGCGCTCACCTATTTTCTCCACGGGTGTGTTCAGGGGGAGGAAGCCTTGTCTCAGCAGCTGGTCCATCATCTCCTCATCATCTGCATGGATCTCGGAGACCATGTTACAGGGAATGAGGCCGAGCCGGGCACAAGTCTCTCCGCGGTAGAAGCCGTCTGCGTCTTTGTCTCCGTATACCTGGAACCATAGGGACAGCAGATCGTTTTCGATAGGCCGGCTCAGCCATACATCAGCCCCACTGGCAGCAGAGTCACCTAAGATCCCAAACTGCTTAGAACACACTTTTCAAAGCCCACCCTTCCCCTGCAGCAGTCACAGGTCCACTGGCCCAGCGACCATCCCCACCACCACACACACACCATATTGGTGTGCCTGCTTGAAGTTTAGATGCAGGACATGGAAACCTCTGCTTTTCAAATTCAGGCTCTGTAACTTAGGCTCTGGTTGCACATTAGTACCCAAGACACACTGCAGCATGCAGGTACGTATGCATGGGTGTGTGCACAACGCTATCAGGCAAACTTAAGTAAAGGCAGGGACCCTTTTCCTGGGTGGAGTAGAGGCAATGCCTGCTCTACATTCAAGGCTTTCACAATCCTGAGCTTTCTCCAACAGCCGTGAAGGCCAAAAGGCAACTACTTCCCATGCTCGCACCAGCACCAATCCATCCCCGCTGCCAGTCTCTGTCCCCTGTCCCCTGACACCGCAGCCATCGCTACCTTGATGATCTGTCCTTCTTTGAAGGGGAGTTCTTCTTCTGCAGCATCAGGGTTTGGGGACATGGTGAGTGGGTCATAGTCAAACAGTGCCACGAAGATGCGTGCCGGGAGATCCTCAGCACCAGGGTCAGTTTCCGACTCATCGTAGAAGTCTGGAGAAAGGCGGTCTCTCCCGGTGTATTCATCTGGGGCATGCAGGGGACAGAGCACAGGGATCATGTGACATCCGTGGGTGCATCTGTGGAAAGGGCGACCCTGAGTGCTTATCTCTGTCTGTTTGGGTTCAGCATGGGACCAGAAATCCCTCAGAGGTAGTCTATGGAAGCAGGTGATTGCTTCAGAACAGGACCTCACTCCAACCCAAGCCACACTATGAGCCAAAGCCATGGTAGCAAGAAGCCTTGAGTCGGTGGCTCTGCCGGAATAGGTGCTTGGTCCCCTGGGAGTGCAGATGTGACCCTCCTGAGGGGCTTCTGGGTCCTCAGCAGAACGCAAAGCTAACCATAATTTTACTCACCACTCACTCATCTCAGAGTTCAACATGGCTGGCAGTGCTGTTCTGCCAGCTCTGAGTGTTTAACCAGCAGCAGATACACCCTCCACGGATGGGAACTAATGCCTTTTCAGTACCTAGTGGTGGTTTCCTGTTGGATCCTAACGTGTGTGAGTGTGTGTCACTTCATACCATGAGATGTGTGGTTGCCCAGCTACACCCGCAGGATGCCCATTGCAGACACCACTCGTGCAGACACTAAACTCCACAATGATCCCGCCCCTTAAAAAGGTTAATTTTAATTGTGTGTTGAGCCTCAGAGGCTGGAGGAGTCCAGGGCCCCTCCATCCTTCAGGATCCGGAGTTACAGGTGGCTGTGAGCTTCTGCAGTCAAATGTCCACCGGAAGAGTAACACACGTCCTTAACTATTGAGCTACCTCTCTAGCCATCCCCCTTCCCCCACAATCCAGGGCACTCCCAGCATGGTGTCAATGCTTGACTGTTCCACAGTTTAGGGAGATGTGGTAAGAAATAAAAGTCTGTGTATGTTTGGGGCAGGTGAAAGTGCCCTTCAGATACTTTCTATGTCTAGTTGGTCCAATCTGAGCATGTGAAACCTGAAATACAGAGACCAGTTGTATATGCATGCACACACATGTATATGGGCATGCATTTCATAGAGAGGCAGGCAACAGGGCAGTGGCTCCCTACCTTCCTAATGCTGCGACCTTTTAATACAGTTCCTCGTGTTGTGGTGACCCCCAACCATAACATTATTTCATTGCTACTTATAGCTGTAATTTTTCTACTGTTACAAATTGCAATGTAAATATCTGATATGCAGCCCTATGAAAGGGTCATTCAGTCCCTGTCCTGGGGTCACAAGCACAAATGGAGAGCTGCTGCAATAGCACCTATGACCAGGTAACCTCCTGATCCTGTGAGCTCATCAGAAACTGAAATTGGCAGGAGAAAGAGAGGTTTGGGAGCTCAACCTGGCCAGACAACTATCTCCAGCCTGTGACTCGGGGGATGACATTGGTGGACAGAGAACACCAAAGAGGTGGCTTCTTTTAATCATCAAATAGTAATGATTTAAAGATGCATGCCTGCTCTATGAAGTGGCCACCACACTTGAGCATTGTCCCATCATCCTACAGTCACCATCTCCCAGACCCTAAATATATGTAATGTTCACCTGTTCCGTGTCAGAAAATCTAAGGGGAAAAGAACAAAATATCCCAGATTTTAAAATGAGGTTAAGTAAGAAACCTCCACGTCATACTATCTCCCTTGTCTTTATTTCTCTGAAGCCATTTGTACTTTAGGGTACAAACCATTTGTACTGCAGCCTTCTTGTCCTGGCACCTGTTCCTTTCTTGTTCACGTATTATAAACATGCCTCGAGGGCTGAAGAGATGGTTCAGAGGTTAAGATCACTGTCTGCTTTTGCAGAGGACTTGGGTTCAGTTTCCAGCATCCACACAGCAGTTACCAACAACCTGAAACTCCTGTTCTAGGGGGATCTGGGTGCCCTCTTCTGGCCTCCACAAGCACTGCATGTATACAGAGCACAGACATACATGCAAATGAATACTAATAATACACATAAAGACAAATGTTAATAAAAAATGATGTGTGTGTATGTGTCCATAAACAATATTCAGTAACTCTAAAAACACCAAATACAAAAAACAAAATGTCCTTTAACTTGTGCTTGGAATAAAATTTTCTACAGCCTGATCCGTTAATTTCTTCATTGTGGTTTTGGCAGGCAGCAGCCTGAGAACTCCCAGGATGATGTGTGGAACCTGGAGCAGCTCTGAGGCCCCACTTTGGATCTAGCTGGGGTATGCAAGAGGAGTTTCGCTCCCTGTTATGTGACCTGGCTGAATAAGTTTCAGCTATAGAAGCAGCCCTGGGGCTGGGCAGTGGTGACCCACACCTTTAATCCCAGCACTCAGGAGGCAGAGGCAGGAGGATCTCTGTGAGTTCCAGGCCAACCTGGTCTACAAGTTCTAGGGCAGCCTCCAAAGTCACGCAGAGAAACTCTGTGGAGAAAGAGAGGGAGGGAGGGAGGGGGAGGAAAGGAAGAAGGGAGAAAGGGAGGAAGGAAGGAAGGAAGGAAGGAAGGAAGGAAGGAAGGAAGGAAGGAAGGAAGGAAGGAAGGTGAGCCAGGGATTGGAACTTGTGGATGTGGCCTTGATCAACGTTTGGTGTCTGTCAGTTCTTTGTGCTTCTCTGAGTTGAGTTACATGGCACCTCTGTGGATAGTAAGCCTCTGTGGTCAGGAGCTGAGTGCAAGCCTAAGGATGGAGGCTTATGGTCAGCTTCCCCTGGACATGACCAGTAAGTCCTCCGGGATACACAAAGGTTCCTTTGCTCAGGAACAGCTTATGTACCTGATGTGCAGTAAATCTCACCCAAATGTCTGATGTTTTCTACAGCATGCAATGTTTTCTTGGCAGGGATGGGTTCTCTCTTCTGAAGGACTAGACTTTGCCCAACTAGTTTTCAATTGTCAACATTTCCTGTGGAACCAGGATGTGATATGTTCCCCCAAACCACCAGGAGAATGGGAAATGATGAGGGAGAGTTCAAGTTGATTATTAAGACAGACTCCATAACACTTGGAAGGGTGAGGTCATTCATCTTCTCAGAAAGATAGCCCCCCCTTGCATTTGATGGGTAAGTATGATTAACCCAAAGGACAAAAACTCCTGGGAAAAAAGTTGAGCACAACTAAATGTCTTTGGAAACAGGGAGCCAACTAAGAAACCCAGTGCCATTAGACAGGTGGCTAAGGAATGTGTCTTTTTCAATCATGCAGAACATGGCTCACTTAATATTAGTTCTAGAAATCAGAATATTAATAGCCACCATATTTTACTTAGTTGTGGCTCCACTATCTGTTAAAAATACACCAAGGAAAATATGATGTGAAGACTTCATTACCTCTATAAAAGAAAAAACAATACTTTGGAATACAGTATATTTATAAAATACTGATTGTTAATTTTTAAATTTTTCTCTTTTATTTTATGTGTATGCATGTGCACTCTGTGTGTGTGTGTGTGTGTGTGTGTGTGTGTGTGTGTGTGTGTGTGTAGACCACAAGAGGGCGCCAGATCCCCTGGAACTGGAGTTACAGAAGGTTGTGAGTTGCTATATGGGTGCTAGAAAATGAACCCAGGTCTTCTGCAAGAGCAGCAACTGCTCTTAACCACTGAGCCATGTCTCCAGACCCTAATCGCTACTATTTTAACATGCAAAGAGAATTAAGGACCAGAGGAACATGTTCTCTGACCTCTGAGCCCTGGTTATCAGTCGCTGACTCCTTGGCCCACCTGCCTGTGTTCTTGGTGAGTGACAGACCTATCACACGGATGTTTTCTTCTGAGGTGCTCACAGGCACTTAGGTTTGTCCTTCCACACATGGGCATACCATGTAAAGTGCTGGGTTCAAATTACATTTTTCACACAGGTTCTTGAGTGGCTACAAGAACTAAGAAAACGCAAGGGAGCTGTCGTAGGTTCATGCTCTTTCAAGAGTTAGGATGAAGGATGCGATCTTTATACACAGCCTTACTCTCTTTGGGGTCAGGAACATGCCTGCAGCCTCCTGAGTTCTTCACCTCAAGAATCCAGACACACCTTGCTTAAGATTCAATGGCAGGGTCCCAGGCAAGACAGTAAAGGCTGTCCCTGGCTCTTAATGACAAGGGTATCTGACGGGACAGTAGGGCTGTCCCCAGCTCTCAGTGACAAGGGTGGTTGGCATGTCTATGGGCATGGGATGCCCTTGCCTTTCCTTTTTTTTTGTTTTTTTCCCAGTCTCTGACTTGCTATGGCAATAGCATTAAGTTCCTGGCCTGAGAGACTGGAATAGGAATCCCACCCTAACTCCTTAAATGACATATATCTCAGAGCCCATAGAAATGCCCATTCCTGCTTATGATGTCTCTGCTTGGGGTGGTGGGGTGGTGGTGGGATTCACAAAAGCCTGTTTATTTGGCCACTGGACATCTCCAGCAGAGCTTCGCCCCTTATTAAACAGTAACAGAGACAGTCAATTTGGCTAGCAGAGCATGAGCTGAGCCTTGAGTGGGTCAGCCATGGCTCTCAAGCCTCAGGACAGAAGTCCTACTGAACGGGACAGCCCAAGCCCATTTCTGCTTACTTTGTCAACTGAGGTCGATTGGAGGCAAGGATCAGAGCACAGAGCCCTGTCTGATCTGCTATCTTGGGGTCCGTGGTTTCCCTGTCTGACTACACACCTTTTGTTATCTTTTGGATCACTAAAAACGGGTTTTGGTGGTAGTGATTGGGTGGGGTTTGGTGGGGTGGCATCGTTTGGGGTCCTTTTGGCACTGTGGGAGTGGGGATAGAATCTGAGGTCTCACACCTCATCAGCTAAGCCTCATCCCCAGCTGTAAGCACACGCAGCCGAGGATATCCGACATTCCAGGATGTCTTTAAGGGTAAAACAGATGCCTGGTGAAGATTTTAGACCTGCAAAAGCAAATGTCTCCCTGTGGCTGCAGGAGGAAGAAGCCTAGAAGGGATTCCTACTGCAGTTTGGCTTCCTCTTGGTGTTGAGAAAAGAACCATGTTCTAGCCCTTCCCGCTAGATGTGACTTAACTCCTTTCCACTTTGGGTCACCTGAGCAGGTTTTCTTTCTCTGAAATGGCAAACCTGGTATCATCCCCAGCCATTCCTGCTTAGAACCTCTGCAATGGTGTCCCTGCATGGGTCCGTGAGAGGAGTGAGTGTGTGTGTGTGTGTGTGTGTGTGTGTGTTCACAAAAGCCTGGTTTATATGGCTCCTCCCCATCCCCGTTGCCCCATGAACACCACTTCTTAGAATTACTGCCCCCATGATTCCATGCCAATGGCAGCAGAATCCCCCTGATCTGCAGCTACCCTTTGCATGGGTTGGTGACAATAACCAAATGACAGCTTTGGGCACCACTGGCTGAATTCCAAATGGTTTGTAAGAAAAGGAAGCCCAGCTGTCATGAGTGGGTGGAGAGAATGCAATTGGGCTGGGTGAGGGGAAGGGCCAGTGCGGAGTAGGGAAGGGAGCACATGTCCTGGGAACACTTCCAGCTTCCAAGTGTTCCCAAGACCAGCCCCAGTGTGGACTATGCCCTCAGGCAACTCAACTCACCTGGAGCCCATCGTGATATCTGGAGTGTAGAGTCAACTCAGCCTCTCTCTGTCTCTGTCTCTGTCTGTCTGTCTCTCCCCTCAGGAAATCCCTAAAGCACATCTCTGAGTATGTCTCTGAAGGTGGGTACAGAAATGATTTAGCAGGAGGAACTGTGTCCTTCATGGGGGAATGTGGGAACCACCAGGGGCTGGAGTTGATGGTGTAGGAAGGGGAAAGATAAAGCCAAAAATGTAGCATTTTGTTCTCTCCCCTTCTCCTCCCCCTCTCCCCACTGTCTCTGTGTCCCCCCAACACTGATGGCTGTCATAGGGTGAGCCACTCTCCCCCCCACACCCTCCCTGCCATGGTGGGCTGAACCCTGATGCTATGAGTTCTCTTGTCCTTGTCCCTTCAGTTGTTTCTCTTGGACATTTGCCACAGGGGCCAGAGTCCTAATGTGTGATCCCTGAACTGTTTTTAAGTAGGTGGTAGACAGAGAGTGAATGATACTGATCAGGCCACTAACCAATGGATGGCACCATCGTCGGTCGGTGCCTCTGAGGACCTCCGCCACTGTGAGAATACCTTCGGCTCACATGATCCATTCGGTCTGCTCGACCCATCAAAGCAGGGTTTCCTAAAATCTAGACCCAAAAGAACACCGTAGTTAGGTATGGCCGGCCTTGGAAGGAAAGGAGGAGTTATAGCCAAATCAATCCGGATTGGAAGCAGAAGCGCTAAAGGCAACTAAACGTAGCTTTTAACTGAAAGGTTAGCTGAGTGACCCGGGTGGGGGGAAGCCAGCCGGGCCCAGGAACCTGCTTTCTATGTCAGGGTCCCTTCCGGACACACCGCAGTGGGGCTGTGGTAAAAACGAGTCATGGGAGGAAGCTTTTGGTTGATGCTATTGCTCCTGAAGCCAAATCCTCTGAAGCAAATGGATTAGGGTTTGTTTTACAGCTCAGGCTCCATCTCACGTAAGTCTTCTCCTGGCTTTGTTGTCCCAGCCCCAGATGTCACACTAGCAGAGATACACTGCCATAGTTCCCAAAGTCCATCACAGACAGAGGGGTATGGAGGGTTCTGAACGCTCAGGGGGCAGTACCTGTGTGCTATCAGCTTTAATCTTGCTCTGGGGTTATCCTGGGCCCGAACAGGCCTCTTGTCTCAAGATGTCTACCTCCCATTTGGACTAGGGAGTCAGAACTGACTGAAGGGAAGCAGACCACTAGGAATCGGGCTAATGGCGGCCATTCCCAGGACACAGGAGCCAAGGAGCCTGTAGCCATGGGTGAGACTGGGTAGGCACCGTGGGGTGCAGGCAGGGCTGGCACGAGTGCGGGCACATCACAGAGTGCACAGCTCAGGAGGAGGCTTGCTACCATGCTGATAGCCCACCTGCGTGCCCACTGACAGTTGAGCACAGTGGGGGACAGATATTGTAGAAAGGATACAATTACAGAGATGTATGAAGCCTTGGATGACCCCCTGCTGTGTGGCAGACACGGGGGGGGGTGGGTGGGAGGGGGAGATTGGGAGTGAGGAAGACCTTGGGAACGATTTACAAAAATGAGTTTCTTCCCTGGTTATCCTCCATATTTTTCAACAGTTATAGATGAAAGCCAAAAGGAAAAAGAAAAACTTAAAAAGCCAAAACAACAAGGGCAAAAAGCCTTTGATCATACCAGCAGCCCTCCCTGAGTCCCTAAGGATCATTTTAGGGGGGCAGGGGATGTGTGTTTCCCCGAGTTCTAGATACTCAGCAGTTCAGCTAACCCTTAATTAAAACTTAGATTCAGTTGTCCTTTAAGTAAAGCAGCCGTAACCATCGCTGATTCTGTGGGGAGATCGTTACTCCAAAGCAAGAAAACCTCCGGGATGGTCAAGCAACTGGGAAGCAATGGGACTGAAGAAATCAAAAATGCAGGGAGAACCAAAGAGAGCGGCCCAGAGAGTCCCCGGATGCACTCCAAAACCCGAACCAAAGGCAAAAACCAACAAAAGGATGAGAGCACGGATTGGTTTGGCAAGCGTGTGGGGAGGATGGTTACTTGACACACCAAAGGGCCGTCGGCCACTCGGGGAGGAGGCTGTGCCAGACGCTCAGCTGCCCTACTGTCGGGCATGGCTGGGCTTTTCCTCCAGACACCCCGAAAATCTTCGTGGTCGCTGGCCTCGTCCCAGCCATCCCTCCTGGGCACGGGCCTCTCCGGGCTGAGCTGGGTGTCATCGCTCCTGATGACGTCACTGGGGTCCACCTGCTCCCCAAAGTCCTCTTCGATGCTGCTCTGTCGGGTCAGCGTCCGCCTCCGGGCCAGCAGGGGCCTTGGGCTTCTCCTACAGGGACAGTGACCAGGGCCTGGACTGCACTTGGCCGAGGTGCTCCTGAAACTAAATCGAGACTCCTCCTCCTCACTGCCGCAGTCCAAACCACTGTCCGGGCTCCTGGTGGCCGAGCGGCTGAACCGACAGCCTCTGTCTTCCAGAAAGAGATCCTCCATATGGATGCCCGGGCCCCTGTGCTCTGCAGGGTGCCAGGATCCCTGTAGGACTGGATGTCCCCAACAGGACCGTGCTGGCCCACGCTCCATGGCCAACAAGGCCCTGGCTCTCGAGGACCCCATGCCCTGCCTGAGCAGCGGCTCGCCATGCTCCGTGTCCTCCTCAGCTACCTCGGGGATACTGAACAGTCTCTTACTGCGGTGGGGCTGTTGGGGGAACTCGGGCTGCTCCAGGAAAGCTCCTTCCAAGCTCCTAGCCTTATGGCATTCCTTGGGGACAGCATGTGTGGGAGAGCGGTGTATGACCAGACATGAGGCGGTGGAGGAAGGAGAGAAAACACACACAGAATTAGTCTTGGCAGGGAGGCGGGGGTGGGGGGACAGCGTGAGGCAGCCTCTGCTTGTGGGGGACCTGCAGCATGCCTGCCGGGGCTCTGGAATGGAGCAAATGGGCCACATGGTGGGCGCAGAGCAGAAGGTAAGGGGCAGCACACAGACGAGCCAGCGGACGTCAGGAGCAGACGCCATGCGGGTGAGCCAGAGGGGAGGAAACAATGCTCCCAGGCCCCTGCCTGCCTCTGTGATGATGAGTTACCCAGAGTAGTGGGGGGATTTGTCTCTCATGGTGGCTGATTCCCTGCAGCCCAGGGACAGCTGCCATTGAATGCCCGGTAGAGATGGAGGTGGCCCCACAGTGTCCTTGGTCCTGTGGACTGTTGCCTTCCTAGCACTTAGCACCCCAGCTGGGCATCTACCTCTCCCTTAGCTAAAGCAGTAGCCATGTTCCTTTCAAGCGGACCTGTGTTCTGATGAATGTTGCCTTAACAGACCCCCGGCCTACTTGGTGCCTGCAACTATTTCCACGTGCACCTTTCCCTGCCAGCTCCGGACCTCAGCCTCTGTCTCTTTCCGAAGGGCATTTTATTTTTGGCGCCAACCGCTGCACTATACCCTCTTTTGGGGAAGATTTGACTGACTCAGGAAAGCGGCTGCCATCCCCTGCTGAGATCTGGGGCTGCATCTTACGATGGGTGTCTGTGATAGCCTCGCCAGCTGTCCCCACTGGTCTGTGGACACCTTGGTCCATGGGGAGCAGGGGCTGTTTCCTAGGACAGCCTGGTGTATGCTCTGCCACTGCCCACAAGTAGGTGTGCACAGGATCTGATAACTCGTGTGGCTTTCTCCTTCATAGCGGGATGTTTGGCTCAGGTGTGTTGAGCTCTATGAAACTGAAGGGAAAAGGATGAAAGCTGAAAAAGAGGGTTAACACGGGGTAGGCAGGTGAGCTGGGCCAGTTGGAGATGAAGAGTTATGTGCCCTGGTCCCTCCAGGAAGCCTGGCTTGGCTTAGCCAGGCACCGCCATGTGGGACCTTGGGTCTAGTGTGGCCACAGCTCCCAACCGCCCCTGGCGGTTTATTAGGAGATGCTTGAAACCCACAAGAAGTCCAGTGGGTGAGTGCCAGGCTCCTGTGGCTACCCTGATCCTATTCCCCTAGGATACTGTTGGGCTGTTTGTAAGAGGGAGAGAGGTCGGGGCTACACATCCTGCCTCACAACACCCTTATTGGCCATTCCTTTGTTAAGCAGTCCTTGGGAGGCAGCATCTAACATCTTCCCCTGTTCAGAGAAGAGTCTGGAAGGCGGGAAGCACACGTGTATGCCTTTCCCCGGCCCACCCATGAGCCCTTTCAAGGTGGCTCTTGCTCTGGAACATAGCCTAGAGCAGGCAGGATTCTCAGGCCGGGAGTCTTCAGGAGAGATCTGTGTGGGACCCACTGGGGAGGAGGGGCACAGGGAACCATGTGAGTCATACCATGCAGGGCCACATGGAGGTCCCCAAAGCCCCTGCAAGGACCTTTATGGGGAAAACGTCTATAGGGCTCCCCTAGAGGCCCCAGGCAGCCAGCGGTGACACATGTTTTCTTCTGTCCACCATAGTGCAGGGTACTGCACATCTGTAGAAATAAGCCCCAGAGGCCTCACCACCCCCACCCCCATTCTCATGAAGTAGCCACCCTTCTATACCAGGGGCGGATGGTATGGACTCTCTCCTGGTGTGGGGCTCTTGGGTGACGGACCCAGGAATGTGCTGTCCTAGGCCTCCTCTGGCCGCAGATGCATGGCTCTTGCCTGCATGGATTCCTCCTCCTTGTATGCAGGAATGTGCAGCCCAGCCCCGCAGTGCCGGTTCAGTGCTAACCCAGAAGCTTCACCTGCTGTGTGAGCATGTAAGGCTCGGGCTAGTTTTGTTGTCTATAATTCTGTTCCCACTACAGAGCTGGCTGTGTCTGGAGGTTCCAAGTGGATCCCCCAAATTCCAGACTTCTTGGCAAAGCAGACAGGAGCAGCGGGGAACTCCTGAATGCAACCATGAACCAGCCCCCGGATTTGGGGCACCCTGACATGGACTCAGGGCTCACCTTGAGGGCATTGTGAGAGGTGCCACTGGGCCGGCGCCGGCCCCCGTCCTCCAGCTGCATCTCTGTGTACAGCTCCTCCTCATCCTCTTCCATGATGTCCGACAGGTCTGACCCCCGGCTGCTCTCTGTGTGGTAATCATCTCCATGGCAACAGTGGGGCTGTGGTCAGAAAGGCACACAGATGGGACTTTTTTCTTTCTTATTTATTCTTTTTTATTTGTTATGTGTATTGGGTATTTTGCCTGCATGTCTATCTGTACACTACATGTGTGCCTAGTGCCTGTGTAGCGCAGAAGACGACATTGGCTCCCCTGGACCTGGAGCTACAAACAGCTGTGAACCACCATGTAGGTGCTGGGAATCAAACCTGGGTCTTCTGAAAGAACTGTCCTTAACCACCGAGTTATCTCCAGCTCCTGGTGGGACATCTTGGACATGCCACAGGCTCCCAGGCTATCCTCCCTGAGTCCTGGACCCATATTTGCCAACTGGCAGAGCCCATGCAACAAGGCACGTGGGGCACAGTGTATGCACATCTTGGTGAGGAAAACAAAGCCTGACACAACTTTGTCCAAGCAGCAGAGAGAGGACAGCACGGGTCACCCCACTCTGACAGGCATGAGGACCCTGGACTCTGGAGGACATAGAGCAAGCAGTATTGATAAGTCACATCCTATGACGCTCAACTTCCAACCTGTCACTCCTGTGCTACACCAGCTGAACAGAGGCTCAAGCCCAACGTTGCCAATTCAGATGGCTGAGGGCCAGGGCACCCATGTGTTCGTGTCTATACAGGGCTACACAAGAGCACATGACAAGGCAAGTGGTCACATGGGGTGACACTGAGACGTTTAAAAGAGCCATTGCCCAGCAAACAAATGTACATATGTATGCCCATGCACACAGAGACACATGCTCATGTGCATATATATGTCCACATATAAAAACACACATAGGAACATGCTCATAGGCACATTCACCACAATACATGTGCGCATACTCATACAGTGACACATAGATGCATAGAAACACATGCTGACATGCATATACATGTCCACACACACACACACACATGCATCTCCACACACAAGTGCACATAAACATGTACACAACAATATACGGGAATTCAATCATTCAGTCACAGGTACTTCATATGAACACATGTGCACAGGTACCATATATGAGCGCATAAACACACCCATGTGCATACATACCAAACAGACAAGTAGACATACATACACACACAAGCATTCACAGACATACATAAAACACATACACACATGCGTACCCACATAAACACACAGAACACATTTTTACAAGCCCACACATAAACACACATACATGTACATATTCGTGTACAAAGGTAGACACAGAGGCATGCACACACACAGGAGCATACACAAACAGGAACACATACACACACCATACACACTCATAACACAGGCGCACACACTTGTACACACGTGCACATATCAAATAAGCACAAGTGCATATACAAACGCACGTGCACACATAAGCACACTGATGCATGAGCACCCACATGCATATGTGAACACATGGACACACACCCAAGGCAGGTTAGGGCACTGTCTTCATAACTCTAAACCCCTACGCCTCCAGCTAGAGCCACTGCCAGCCGAGGGCTGATGCAGGGGTACACGCTCTCACCTGCTTGCCCAGCTCTGACCCTTTCAGGAAGTCATCCACAGATGTCCCTCTCCTCTTGACCTCGGGGGAGGCGTAGCCATCCTCCTCGTCTGAGTTGGCATACTGCCCAGCACCGCTTCGCTCCAGAAAGAGGCTCCTTTTCTCTAACTTGGAAAGAGAGAGGGACAAAGAAGAGAGGCCATGTGGGAAAGGGCTAGAGGAGACCCCAGGAGCACGCATGGCTGTTATCCTCACCCCAAGTGCTGAGAAGTGCAGGGAGATCCTTAGAGGTACCCTGGGGGGGGCCCTCCCACACTGAGCCCTGCAGAGCCTTCAGGGCAGATGCATGGAATGTGCTGGGCTGTGACCACATAAGCATGTGACTCTAGGGTGCTGCTGGAGAGTGGGTCCCAAGAGGTCCAGGCTCCTGGGGCCAGCTATTCCCCTCGCCTCTCCTCTCTATGAGACCCGAATCACTCTGAGTGTCCCTGGTGGGAACCTTAGACCTCAGTGGGAAATTTCTTCCTCTGTTGCTTGCCTCACCAGGCTTTCATTCAAACCGTGGCATTGAAGTAGGAGCCCGGAAAGGGTCTCTGACCCAGCCTAGCAGCTGCTGGGTCCTCCTGGATCTGCTCTGAGGCTGCACTGGGCTCTTCTGCTCCTTGGCCATAAGCATCACCCAGTGACCCCAATGTAGACCTGGCTCCAGCCTCACTGGACCTCGGAGCACCCTTGGAGCAAAGGCCCCAAGTTCACGAGTGTGTATTGTATCAGTGGCTACTATTGAGCAAACCAGATTTCACAGACAGTTTCCTAAAAGGTTCTAGGGTCCTGGAGTCAGGGTAGCTCTGTGCCCTCATGGGGATCCACGGGGCTACTAAACATGTGTTAGAAACATCCTCCCAGGCACCTGCAACTCCGGTGCTGACCCTTGGTCATGTATCCTCACTCTCCTGACCTAGACCCTGGGAGAAGGGTGCCCCAGCCTTGGCAGACATTCCCAGGGGTCACCATCCTGGTGAGACCCAAAGAACAACCCGACACTAAGAGGGGTCCTGCCAGTAGGTCCCGCTGACACCTTGGTGGAGAAACTTGACCTTGCCCCCAACATCTAGGCATCTGGTAGGTGGATACCCGGGAGAGGTGGGAAGGGGCACCCTATAGAGGTCTTAGTAATACACACCTTATTGCTCCCTTTGAGCACGTGTCCTAACCTCAGTCTCCATGATCACAATACCCCGCCCCCCAACACACATGCAAGTACTCAGGCAGGAATGTTTCAGTGGAAGGACACGCCCTGCCCAGTTCTAGGCTGAGGTCTAGAGTGCTCTCTGGTAGATCGGCTTCTACCTGCTAGGCACAGGGACAGGTCACACCCCCCACCCCTAAGAGTACGGGGACCAAAACCCTCTAGGAAGACACATCTTACCCTGCTGCTTTCAGCTACCCTCTGTGCGGCCTCCCGGGCCATGGCCTTGGCGACAGTGGTGGACACTGGGGCTCCTTGGGGCTGAGGGAGGATCCGGCTGGGTGAGGGTGACCTTCTGCCCGGGCCAGCACTATGCACGTCGGGGGGTGGTTCCAGCATGTGGCCACGTGCGGGGCCTGGTGGCCGGCTCTGCTCCCAGGACTCGTCTGCTTTGACGTGGGGACCCAGGTGTTGGTCTTTGGTATCCAGGTCACTTGCTAATGGCTTTGGTGGGGGAGCAGTCCTCGGGTGGGGGGCTGGAGGCACCAGGAGGTCAGGGGGGATGGCAGCGAGGGCAGAATCCATGGACTCTCCCTGTGCAGACAGGGTGCGCACACTCACGGCCTTGGCCTCCAGGCTTCGGAGCTGGACCAGCTCCACTGCCGTACCGTCTGCTGTGGGGGCGATGACCTCAGCCACCTGCACACAGAGAAAGCCATGTCATGGGCTGTCAGCATGCGCTGACCCAGCAGTGGCCTCTCCTTGGAGCCAGATGTCTGGCAGAAAAAAAAAAAGCCCAGCATCTTGAGCCCAACATCTGGCTCCAGTCAACTCGCAGAGCTAGCGAAAGCCAAAGAATCTCTGGGAGCCAAGGACCCAGGGAGCTGTGAGATCTATGAAGCAAAGCCGTCTCCTTCCATCCCTAGACCAGACGCAGGGTTCCACAGGGATCCGAACGTGAACTTGTTTACTGCCACCGCTGTAGGGAGGGGAGGAGGGGGCAGGGCAGGTGGGCTTCCTGTCTGTGCATGAAACCTGCCCTTAGAGATCATGGAACTTGCCCCGGGAGAGCCTATAGCCTTCAAGGGGTGAACATGGGAGAAATGGCTGGGTGCCTCATCCCAAGCCCAGCAGCCCAATCTGTCACCAGGGGGGAGGATGGGGTGGCAACGGTTGTGGTGGTTGGAACAGGAATGTCCCCATAGGCTCCTATATTTGAATGTTTGGTCACCAGAGAGTGGCACTATTAGGAGGTGTGGTCTTGTTGGAGGAAGTGTGTCACTAAGGGTGGGTTTGGGGGTTTCAGATGCTCCTCTCTCTCTCTCTCTCTCTCTCTCTCTCTCTCTCTCTCTCTCTCTCTCTCTCTCTCTCTCTCTCTCTCTCTCTCTCTCTCTGCTTCCTGTTGGCACCAAGGTAGAGCTCTCAGCTACCTCTCTAGCACCGCGTCTGCCTGTGTGCCTCCAGGAGGGATAATGGACTAAACCTCTGTTGTGAGCCAGCCCCAATTAAATGCTTTCACTCATAAGAGTTGCTGTGGTCATGGTGTCTCTTCACAGAAAAAAAACCCCTAACTAAGACACCAGTGAACAGATACACAGAAGCTTTCTAGAGACTTCCTCGGGGTAAAATTTCTGCTTCATGTGCCAGGATAGGGGTGACAGACTAAGAAGATGGGTTCTCCGCTCAGGGACACCAGAAATACAACTATTTCTCAGAGTCCAGGTCTGGTCACATACAAGTGGGAGATTGCCTACGTGGGTCTTAACCTGCTAACACAGAGTCTGTTAAAACTGGCAAGCCAGTTACTGCCTGGGAGCCTGATGCTGGTGAATTCAGAGGCGATGTGTCAGTGTTGGATGCGGCAGGGCAGGGCAGGGGTGAGGGAGGCAGAGAGGACACTGGACCCAGCTGGGAACCAAAATAGAATGGGACTTCTCTCAGACTTGTGGCAGATAGATCGCAGAGTGGAAGGCCCAGCAGGGATCTCCTGAAGGCTGGTGGAGACTTTGTTCCCACGGCCCCCCCCCCCCGTAAGCCTGCCCCTGCAGGGTAGACCTCACACCCCATGCTCACCCTCTGTCCTTTGGCATACACGCCGTATCCTGTGACATTTGCTCCATTGGACAGCCCAGTGGGAGTCAGCGCAGGGGGCTTCCAGGAGACCTGGACAGTAGCGGCTGTGGCCCCAGCTTGGACGGTGACAGCTTGTGGTGGGGCCGGGGGCCCTGGAAGGAGAGAGGAAACAGATGCTGTCAGAGCATGGTCCTGGGGCCTTTGTTCACTCGCTCCGCCCCACCTGGAAATGGAGCCGTCCACATGGTTGACAAGGCAGACAGGAAAGGAGAGGGGAGAGCGGGAACAGGAGACTGTAGGTAGCAAAGACAAGCATTCAGCTGGATGCCCATGCGAGCTGTGCTGCTTCCCACACCTGGCATTTATCCACCTGCATTTGGGAGGGGCCCCACTTTGCCTCTGAGAAACCTGCTCTTATGCTCCAATTGAATGGAGCTCCTTCTGCCAAGGGACTTGGGAGTCACACAGCCATGGATGGTTCTGGGGGAAAGACAACGCTGACACACCCACTCTTCCCGACTTCCTTACTTTTCCTCCTGACTGTTGCTCACACCCCCCATCTTCATGTTCATCACCAAACTCTAGAGACGGCAACCTTTGACTTCACACCACATATCAGACCATTCTATGGAACTGGGAAAACTCACGTCAAAAGAGTTCTGCCTGATCCAAATACTGCAAGGGTCTAGACTGGTGGCTTCCTTGTGGGCTGACATCATGGGAAGCATGCTCACTGGGTCTTAGGAAGAAAATGTGTTCAGAGTCACTTATTCAGGTAATAGGGAAATAGTTCCCAGGTCTCCAAGCCACTCCAGTGGCCCTGAGATAGTCCATCTGCCCTCAGACACCAGGGACAATAGCATTCTTTACTCCAGACTTGGGGTAGAATTTCCCTATTCCTCTTGACTGAGCATCCAGATGGCTTCATTTTGGAAGAAATGTACTCATAAGCCCAAGAGGCATCCCAGAGGAGGATACCACTCATCGGGGAATGTCCACATGCCAGCCATCCTATGCACTTTGCATGCTTTGTATTTCTAGGCCCTCACCAGAGTCCTAGGGGACTTCTCCGCATCATTTCGTAATGACATTATAAAGGATGCCTCCAACATCATTTTATAAATGAGGAAACTGAGGCTCAGAAAACCCACTCTGCTGCCCAGGGTAAGAAGTTAGATCCTTCACCCCAGCATGGACCTGTGGCCTGGTGGCACAGGTCCCCATTACTCTACTGTGACAAGGTCTCAGAAACTCAGCCTGGATCAGAGTCCATTTCTCCCTGGTGGCTCATACATGACATTTGTCTAAGGAAGGTGTGTTCAGAATGTGCCTCAAAAGCCAAAGTCCTCCTTTGAGAGGCACCCTGAAGGTAACAGTAGGAGTGACAGCTGACACTGTAGAGACAATGAGGTCAATCAAAGGTGGGATGGCGCCCTCAGGGAAACGAATCATCCAGAACTCAATTCCACAAGGAGAATGTATTTGAACAATGCTGGTAAAGAGTGAGTATTTTAGATAAATGAAAGCATAAGGAGTCCTACAGGAAACTCATCAGAGTTAAAAGGAGATGACCACAGGTGGAAACTTGGGCCGCACACAGGAAGACCAGAGTGCAGTGTAAGTGGCAGTTAGTTGCATTGGGGAATAAGAAAGGGCATTTTCTAAAATGCTTCAAAGAAATCATTATTTGAATGAGGAGAAAAGCAGTGTGTCAGGGGGATGTGAAGTGTCGTGAGCTGTTTGAGCTAAGAAATTGGTTCTGGAAGTGGGGTTGCCCCTTACTATCTCAGATCCAAGCATGCTTGGCTCAAGATCTCCTTAGAACTCCCCCTATGGATCAGGCTGGCCAGGCTCTATAACAGAGAGAAAAACTGCAAATAGCTAAGGGATTAAAGGCACCGTGCCTTGTGAACAGGTAGAAGATAAACCATTTCGGCAATGTTTACTGCTTACCCTGCAATAATAAAATGTCCGAGGGGAGAGAGCTTCTGGGTATCTGATGCCCTCTTCTAGCTTCCCTGGGCAACTGTACACACATGGCTCACATACCCATACTAACACACGTATGGGCACAGGCACACACACTCACATGTGCACAAACACATGTACTCATAATTGAAAAGAAATCATTTAAAAACTAGGCTCATCCACCCGTAAACACTAAGTTGAACCCGAGAAGTGTGAAGTTGTTGAATATTCAAAAGTAGCACAATCACCACATTAACATAATAAAGAATAATCATGACTTGATAGATGGAGAGATTATCAAGATTGGAAATTTAACTCAATCTTGATAAAAGTCTGGGCACACTAGGGATAGAAAGGAAGTATCAACCCTGATGAAGAACAGTGTTCTAGTTTCATTTCTGTGGTTGTGATAAAACACTGACCAAAAAAAGAAAAGAAAACAAAACAAAACCCTCAACTTGGGTGAGGAAGGTTTATTTGGCTTATACTTCTAGGTTACAGTCCATCTCTAAGGAAAGTTATGGCAGGAACTTGCTGCAAAAGTCATGGAGGAACACTGATTAGGGACTGGCTCTTTGGCTCATATTCAGCTAGCTTTCTTACAGAGCCTATGGCTACCTGCCTAGGGAATGGTACCTCCTACAGTGGACTGGACCCTCTTATATCAATTAACAACCAAGACAATCTCCCACAGATGTGCCCATAGACCAATGCGATCTAAACAACTCCTCGAGGCTCTCCTCCTACATGCTTCCAGGCTGTGACCAATGACCAACACCAACAGTTCCACAGTTTTCGTGACATATTTTAGTTTCATTCTCATCTTCTCGAGGATAGTCACACTGGGTTGACAGGGCACCATCTAGTCTTTTATTCTTCTCTTGGACATAAAGACACCCTTGAGTGTATATATGCATGTGTGTGCCCTGCACTTGTGTGGGCTGCCTCTTCCTCACAAACCTACTAGGATGCACACAGCGGCCACCAATATCACAAACACTCTGGGACACTAAAGAGGCAACTCACTAATATAAGAGCACAGGGTCCTATCTATACCAGGAGACCTCCAGAAGCCAGATGTGCCCTGTCCCCAAGAGTTATTGGAGAAGGTGAGAGAGGGCACACTCTCACCCAGTTACCACAAAGAAGGCAGAGGAGAGATGGGTTTGCCCTGTAGCAACTTCGGTGGACTACTTCATTCTTTGTACTGTTCATTGGCAAGTATTTATTTATAACAAAAACTAAGAAAGAAGGGACAGCATTAGAAAGACGTGTAAGCTCTTCAACTCATGATCCCCCTTGTGTTGTCTGAGGAGGCATAAGGTATAGAGTCCCAGACGTGGCCTCATTCCCCTCCCGTATATTCTAGGACAGTCTCTGACAGATCAAATGCTGAGGGCACATCCCCAAATGTTATCCAAGAGCCAACTCTAAACCCGTGAACGGGCTCTGAACTTCCTAAAGGATCTGAGGGTTTTGAAGGATCACATAGACTCCTATAATCACCTCCTCTTGCCTTTTCCTATCCATGCAGGGTGAGCTCTAGCATCCTTTCTTCATAGACCTCCACCCCGACCCAGAGGATGTGGCTTACCTGCAGGCAGGGTGGAGAACTCCACACAGGCCTCCTTCTTCTCCCTCTGCTCCAGGGGCAGCTGCCAGGGCATCTGGTGGGGCTGGGCCAAGACCTTCACCTTGTAAGCCATGTTAGGTCTGAGGTTGAAGAATTGATACTTGTACCTGGTGGCCTTCACAATGTCCAGCTCCTCCTCGTTAAGGAAGATGACATGGCTGTAGTTACTGTTGGTAGGCAGCCACGAGAGCTGGGCGGAGATCTGTGTGATGTTGTCCACACGCAGCTGGGACGGTGCTACGACTACATCCTTGCCCACCAGCAGCGTGCACTGTAGCTCGTCCGAGTTGCCCCGACTTGTGACGCACTGCACGGAGATGCGGTAGGTGCAGGTGGCTGTGTTAAGTTTCTCAATTAATGCCTTGGTTCTCCTGCCCAGGGCAAGGCTCATGCGTGTCTCCTTGTCTACCAGCACATTATAACTGCTCACGGTGCCCCAGCCAGGTGGGACAGCAGGAGGCTCCCAGCCCACGATGACACTTTTGGCAAGCTGTTTGATAAGGGTGATTTTCCTAGGGTAAGGCACAATGTCTTCTCCGATGTCGTCAATGCTCATGTCCAGAGTCCCCCCGCCATTGTCTGTGATGCCTGAGTCCACTTGAGTTGGGGAGTGAAGATGAAGGATACTGTCGTGCTCCAGGCTGATGCCAGAGTGGTTGAGAAAGTTCTGGTCCTGCTCACTCCCCAGGGTACCAGCCAACCGTGACTCATTGTCCTGGATGAAATCCACAAAATTGGAGGGCACCAAGCCCCTCTGCCCATCCAGAAGCTCTCCTGTTAGATACAAGAAGAGATGTTACTCGCCATCCCCTGGGCCCCTGGGCCCCACAGTACCGCACAAAGCAAAGCATCCCAGGAATTCACATATCTGTCCCCTCCATACCCTCTGACTGCCATAACCCCATCATCACCAAGTCTGAATTCCTCTGCCAGCCCTATGAGACTCTGAGTGTACACACCAAGCACACACTGGTAACAAGGAAACTGTTCAATAGGGATTCAAAAAGCTCATGTTGACTGAGTACCCAGCACTGGAAAACCCCAGCACACAGTTGGTGCGCAATAAAATGTCAAGATGAACAAACATGTCAGATCCATGGCTTTTGGAGACTAACAGATGTCTATTGTTTTTGATCATAGGTTCATATGAATAGGGATTTAAAGGTGACTCCCTACTGGGTAAATCATCAGAGCATCTATGTCCCTAGCATCCACCTGATGTGAAATAAAAACACTGGATTGGTTGTCAAAGTGTCAGAGACAATCAGAGTTGCCATTAAGTTGTGTGACATAAGCAAATGCTATACATTCTAAGCACTCCCTAACTTTTGTACAGGTGGGTAGCCTATTTTTATTCCAGAGAGCAGCTAAATTCTCCCCCCCTCTGTGTGTGTGTGTGTGTGTGTGTGTGTGTGTGTGTGTGTGTGTATGCTCTTGGATTAATGAGTCACAGAAGCTGCCAAAAAAGACTATGTAGAGGAGCTAGGGACTCCAACACACACACACACACACACACACACACACACACACACACAAACACACACAACCCTTTATCATAGCACACTTTCCAAGAGAGACCAGGTGATCCCAGGAGACTGTGGCACCATTGGATTTTTCCCTACCTGGATTCCCTTGCCTTGGGGGATCTGTGACATGGCATGTAGAGGGCAAATTAGGATTTGTATTATGTGTCTAACCTTCACTTAGGCCATGGGTCTTAAGGCAGTCAATCCTTTGCACCAAAGACATTCTGGCATATGGAAGTGATGATGGTAATGATGTTGGTAACAATAATGATGGTGGTGATAGTATCAGCAGTTGTTGTTGCTGGTGGTGGTAGTAATAATGATAGTATGGTAGTGATGATGATATGGTAATATTGTTATAATGATAATGATGGTGCTGGTTATGACGGTAATAATGACAGTGGTGGTGATGATGATGTAATAATGATAATGATGGTGGTGGTGATAATAATGGTGATTGATAATGGTGATGTGATGATGGTGATTATGGTAGTGGTGATGTTGATGTTGATGGGAACCATGAGCAATGACCATGTACAAGGCTATGTTCCAAGCACTTCCTAGCATCCAACCCATCTTGCAGACATTGAAAACAGTGAATGCTATTGCTATCGCCATCCTGCAATGGGAAAGATGGAGGCACACAGAATAGAAACAAGTCCTATTGTCACACAGACGATCAAAGCCTGAGTTTGGAACCCCTTTGAGTGAGGCCCTTGGAGCCTTTAGGCGGGCACAATGCATGATGGGGAAGCCTCACTCTTTCTGAGGAGTGGATAGAGGTAGAAAGGAGGTTGGGGGAAGGGAATGGGAGGCGAGGGGGGAGGGGAAACTGTGATTGGGTTATAAAATAAATAAAAATTTTAAAATGAATAAAAGAAAAATCACTTTATCTGTACAGAACATGTACAGAGTCTGTCTGTGGTCTGATCGTCATTGGCAGGTACTTAGGTGTGTTAGAAGCCATCTAGGAAGGAGTCCCAGTGCACAAGAGGAGGCACCCAGGCTATGTGCAAACACCTCATGATTTTAAAAGGGACTCAAGCATCCTTGAGGTTGAGTGTCGACCTGTTCCCCATGGATAATGAGAGGTGACTGTAGAAAGTCCATCAGCGTCAGTGTCAGCACGCAGCTGCCCAGGAGCTCTGCCAAGATGAACACTCAAGGCTCCCAAGTGCCAGCCATCTATGGCCATTAACACTTGGAAATCCAGCTCCACTGTCCTGGCAATCATCACAGAGGGAGACTGGGACCTCTGGGGATAGGGAGGGACAGAACAGAGGGCTAGCAGCCAGGAACATGTGGGAACCTGGTGCATCTCCCAGGGCCCGGGCAGGCTGGTCTTCTGCCTGGAACAAGTCAGTGCCCACCAACCGCAGCACATCCACAGACCTTCATAGAACCCATCCTCATCCATGTCCCCATAGACGTAGAGGTACTTTCCCGCCGTGAGAGGCAGCTCGGCTTCCGGGTTCTCATTGGGCCCATCAAAGGGGTTGTAACTGCGGGGAGAAGCAGTTTGCATGTTAGTGGTTCTGGCCATGGTCTGTCAGCATGTGGCCCTCACACCTGTTACATCTCAAATGGTGTCATAGCTCATGTGAGTGAGATCCTATGTCTGCTCCCAAGCTTCCTCTGGCTAGCTCACACCAATGGTTAAAGGTAGTATTTTGTTTATGGTCTAACAAATAAAGCTTACCTAAGTGCAGAGTGCAAAGCTAGCCACACTAACACTAGTCAGCCATAGAGGGCAGACAGTGGTGGCACACACCTTTAATCCCAGCATTAGAGGCGAATATGTGGAGGGATGAGACAGGAACTCTCTCTCTTTCCAGTCTGAAGATTTTGTAGAGGTAAGAGCTCTCTAGTAAGGTGGCTGCTTTGATTTTCTGATCTTCAGCTTGAACCCTACTATCTACTACAAACAAAGTGAACACTGTTGCTTTTATTTGTTATGATTTATTTCTTTATGTGTATATGTGCAGGGGTGTGTGTGTGTGTGTGTGTGTGTGTGTGTGTGTGTGTGTGTGTGTGCAGTGTCTGTAGAAGCCAGAAGAGGGCACTGAGTCCCTTTAAGCTGGAGTTGCAGGCAATTGCCAGCTGTGGGTGCTTGGAACTGAACCTGCATCCTCGAGGACTCTTAACAGCTAAGTCATCTCTCCAGCCCAACTATGTTACCTCTAAATATGTATTAACTCACTGAGGTAGAACAGCATTATACATGCTACTTACCATTTTTTCACCTTACAATGTAGGATACTGTATTCCTTTTTTTTTTTTTTTTTTTTTTTTGGTTTTACGAGACAGGGTTTCTCTGTATTGTTTTGGAGGCTGTTGGTCCAGCCTGGCCTCAAACTCACAGAGATCCGCCTGTCTCTGCCTCCCGAGTGCTGGGATTAAAGGCGTGCCCCACCACCGCCCAGCATGGATACTGTATTTCTATCTCATGAAATCTGCCATTGCCTTTTCAATTTTAGTACAGTATAACACTGTCAAGGTCACCAAACTTTATGGAATTGTTTTTCTAATATCAGATGTAGACACTGCTTCTAACTTCTGACTAATATTGTATTCAGTGTCCTACTAAATGTCCTTCTGGTATCTTTGCACACTTTCACAAAAAAAAAAAAATCCAGAAACTGCATTTGTTTGATCAACCATATGCCCTACTGAGTACTTCTAAGGTATGATGCCTGGGATTTCGGCAAGATAATAGAGGGTGGGGGATGGGAGGCATCGATGGAGGCTCTAGGCACTGTCTCCCCTGTGACATTCTGTTTGCCACCTGTTGTGGATTAAATGGTGTCCCCCCCAAAAAAATCTGTCACAAATCTCTGAATGTGGCCTCATTTCCCAAGAAGTCCGTCCCTGCACGTGTCACCCAGATGAGAAAATATCACACTGGCCAGGGTGGTCGTTAGTGCACGAGACACAGGAACACACCTAGAAGAGGAGGCCATGGGAAGGTGGAGACAGAGACTGGAGAGATGCGGCTATAAGCCAAGGCCACTGGGGCCACCAGAACCCGAGAAAGGCCTGAGACTCTGGCCCAGAGTCTTCCTGGGGCCATGGCCGTGGGGCACCTTAATTCAGCTGCTGACCTGGGGAGTGTGAGGGAGCAAGGCCCTGGATGCTCAGCTTGAGACACTGAATCAGAGAGGCTCTGGAGAACAAAGCATGATCTCATCCTGTACACCCCCACCCCCCACCCCTGCCTCTCACCAGCTTCTTCTGCCCCGGCACTCAAGGTGTTACACCCCTACCTGTAGCGGGCAACACACAGGTGCACCTTCCCCGAGCTGCTTTGCTTGGAGTTGTTAGAGTTCCGGTCATTGTCCATCTGTGAGGGCAGTGATGGTGGTTTGTAGTTAGTGATACTAAAGGCTGCATGTCCCCTCCAACACACACACACACACACACACACACACACACACACACACACACAGTGTCATGACACCTTCCATGGTGACATTCAGGAAATCTGCCTGCAATCTCACTGGGCTTCATTGGGACAGTAGCCCAGTCTACGACACTCTCATGAAACAGGAACCAGCTCCACAGACCTTTGCTGGAACCCTAGCCTGCCCATCAGCAGAGAGTTGGGAGCCTGAGACACCTGAATGTCATGCCAAGTAGCTTGTGGAAGACAGAGGTGACCACACCCTCTTCTTCCAGAGGGCTCTTGCTAGGGAGGACCCCAATTGCCATCTCCAGTGGCATTCAGTAAGCCACAGAGACCCACGGGAAAGGAAAAAGTAGGAATCCTCTTGCTAAGTATTTTGAAAATCCCCAGTTGCTGATGCAGGAAGCCAAATCCAGTCGAATTAATAAAACCACGTTTAATCTGAGCAAAGCAACTCCTGGGTGATTCTCAGGGGAAGAAGGCAGGAGAGAAGTCACGTGGCAGGGCTATGGGCCTGGTCCTAAATACCCTGTAGGCATGGTCTTGAGCATCTCAGGGGGAGTGGTCACTGCTTAGCGGGCTTTCTCAGGGGCGGGTCTGGAGAGAGAGAGGTAGGCCAAAGCAGAGCTCCCACCTAGACACCTCATTTCCCCTCTTCCACCCTGGGGTCTCAGCATCTGCAGAATTTAAGGACACTGCCACCAGAGTCCCTGTTGCAACAATCCCAGGACCTGTGGCCATACGCGTCTGAGATAAGGACACTATCACTCATCTCAGATAAAAGGGAGACTGAGTAACAGTGCCCTAGAGAAGGCAGGCTCCCCTCCCATTCCCTGTGTGTGCGGAAGGCAGAGCGTTTCTTCATGGTGCCTATCAAGCTATGCCGCTCCTTCCTGGGAGCCCTCCAGCGCCACCTGGTGTGACTTACACAGAGACTAGTGTTATTTGAGAGACCAAAGCCACACCTAACCCCACCCCCATCACCTCCCAGTTCTATTCATCCAACCAAATGCCCGGCTTCTCAGGTATACAGTGACACCAATTGATGAACCTCCGGGCTTCATAGCCCCTCCCTGTCAAATCAGAAGTCCGCATAGCCAGTTCTGTTGTCTGTAAAACCCTCACCAGGACTTGGCTGTCCAGATACTGATGGGGTGCTGTGTCCTCCTGCCACCTGTGTCCCCCCATAATATCCATGCCCCCAGGTTCAGTCTGGAGCTGGCTAAGTGGGACTCACCTCGGACTCAAATCTGCATCTTGGGCTGCTAGATCGTAACAGGAAGGAGGGCTTCACACACGGAGGCTCCAGCTTGTTCCCAGACAATGGGATATAGTCACCAATCACAGAATAGTGTCCAGTGGGGCCCTCGGGACCTAGCCAGGACACAGGAGCAGATGGGGGAGGAGACAGGCCATCATACCAGCATGCTAGCTTTTTTCCTTCCCTGTACTTCCCTCTCTTTTTGGTGCCCACGTCCTCATCCCCCCAGGCTGGTTCACTGAAGCCCTGGACTGGTTCATCATGGGTAGCATACAAGCTGGCTGTACTGAAGGTTTGGTGATGGCATATGATATGAGACACATCAGGGAGGGTTAGTACATCCAGAGCATGGGGTCTTTTCTTCTGTTGGCTTGAAATTGGGAAGCTGTGATGCCCAGTGACCCCATAGCCTTTCTAATCGGGATAGGAAAGAACACAGTGTGTCCACAGAGCTGGGCACTGTACTATGGAGAGGCAGAGCCTGGACCTTCTATAACATCATCAAAGGTACCTAAGTGAAGCTGTACCTTAAGTTACACTCTAGCTCTTCCCCTCTTAGATGACAACTACCTTACTACTCATACTGGTTTACATAGAAATCTGTGGTTACTCTGACCAAAAAAAAAAAGTTCCAACTTGTCCAGTTACCAAGTTTCTGGCTAGAAATGATTTGATAGGTTTCTCAGTACCAAAACAGGTCCCTGCACCCTATCCTTACAGGGTGTTACAGAGTACACTGACCCAGGATGGCCTGATCTAAACTTTGAAGTCACACTCCTTCAAATCAGGATCCAAACATAAAGTGTGGTACCCTCGGCTGCCTTCAGGTCAGCATGCCTCTTCCTGAACTGCCCCATCAAGAGGTTGCCCTACTGGGTGACAGAAGACCCCCAAGACCAAGTCAGGAAATAAAAAGGGACTAAAGCCAATGCAATTAGTGACCCAGCAAATGCCTTAAATAAAGAGGAAAATCCTGCCGCTCCCACCAGTGTGGAAGTACTTGGAGTGCCTTATTCAAAATAAAATAATCTAGGCACCAGAAGATGCAGACCACACTGGTCAGTCACATGTGGACTCTGATGATGCCAGAGTCCTTGAAGCAGAGAGAGAGAGAGTGGTGGCCACCTGGCCAAGTGGGTGGAATGGTGTAGAAACATTAGTGGCGAAGTCCTGGGCTTCAAGGTGAATAGGTTTAGGTCTTGGTATTCAGTACTTCATCTACGGTGCCTCATACTATATTGTTCCCAAACACAGTCAGGAAGCATATGCTCTGGGTCCCATGGCACATGAGCACATCTCTAAGGGATTATCTAGACTGGTAAATAGAGCTAATTAAAAGAGCAGGGGGTGTTCACAAGCAGCTACACCATAAAAGAAAATGTCTCTCCCGTATGGGTGGGGGCCTCATAAGCCCCTCCCACAGCAGCCATGAACTGTCTATAAAGCCTCAGAGAGAACGCAGGGCCTCTTGAGCCCATTCATGGCAGGAAGTTAATGGACCCAATCTTGTGCAGCTCTCTCCTGTAGATGATCATAGCTGCTGAAAGTTCAAGAGGGCACCAGCCAATTCTTGCCTAAGAAGAGTGGTGCACACCTGTAGCTGGTGCCAAACACTTGCATTCTGACTTCGGAGTCAGAACTGGACACATGCCAGGTATAGGTACCGGTGTAACCACCCCTACCCCAAAGAAACCTTCAGCTCTGCCTCAGGTGGCCTCCTAGGATTCTGCCATGCTGCTGAGGCGGTGATCTGTGTGACTCCCTTGCAGCTAGGATGCACCACGGGAAGGTGCAGGTCCTCTGGAGAGAACAGAAGCTGCCTTGTGCCTTTCACAGCTTGAATGCGGAGCCCAACCACCCCTTCTAGAACAGTCCCAGCCTCCTTCCACCTCACCATCTATCTGCAAGCATCTGTCTGGGCCAGAGGCTATCTTGAAGCCTATCTGATCTCTTGCATCTGAGCAGGGCTTCCTACACGACCCTGGCATCTAACAGGCATCACAGCCTTGGCACCCAGACACCTCCCGGATGCGCTCTGTGCAGTAACAGCCAGAAGGCCCTGGGCAGCCCCATTCCCTGCATCTTGTTCCTCATAGCAACGGTCGCTGGTGCTGTCATTTCCTGCAATGCGAGAGCTAGAAGGAAAGATGTAATAGCCGAGGAGCTGAAGGAAAGAGTGATGAGCACTGCCTAGTTTTTATAATAAAAAAAAAGCCAGGAGCACCTCTCCATTTTGATAAGAACCAGGAGAGACTGGAAATTGTCTTAACATAGTTACAAAAGGAAGTCTGGCATTCGGCTCCCTAATTGCTCCCCTAATTGAAATAAAGCAACGACTTGGGGGTTTGTTTTTGTTTTTTAGACAGAGTCTTGCACTATAGCCAAGGTTGTTCAGGAAGTAGCTGCAATTCTCTGGCATTGGCCTCTCAAGAGCTGGGTTACAGGTATGAGCCTGTGATCTGGAGGGAAGGGCTGGGGGATAGTTTAGTTGGAGTGAGGAATTGAGTTCCATCCCCAGCACCCATGCAAAAGTTAGACGTGGCAGCACATCTCAGAATCCCAGCATTAGAGCCACGGGGACAAGCAGATCCCTGGGGCTCACTTGCCAGTCATCCTAGGCTAATCCACAAACTCCAGGCCAATGCAAGGCCCTGCCTCAAAAGCAAGGTGGATAGTTCCTGAGGAACACCATCAAAGATTGACCTCTGTCCTCTACACATATGTATTCACTCACACATGCATGTGCCCCTGTACCCACACAAACATGCTCACCCCAGTACTAGAGAATCCAAGTCACTCTATGAATGGATAAGGACATAGCAGCCTGGGCTGTCCTTAGTCCTGCTGAGGTAGGTCTTCAAACTCCCCACCATAGGCACCCTCCCCGACTATTGCAAACATCTGACACTTACCTTTGCGTATGGAGTTGGCTAGTCCATTCATGTACTGTGGGAAAGGTTTGCCAGGGGCCAAGGGGACATCCAGCAAGGCCACTGAGCTGCTGCCCAGCAAGTCAATATTCCCAGTGTGTTGCCGGAACTTCTCCAGGTCCCGTGACAAAAGGTTAAACTGCTCACTCTGCACGCGACATTTCTCTTCCAGCTCTCGGACCTTGGACTACACAGCAGAGGCAGGACAGTGGTCAAAGAGGGGGTATTCAGTGGGGCAGATGTGCACGGGGGCACATGTGTCTTTTAGAGTGTGTGTGCGTGCACATGCTGTGTGCCTGTGTATGGCAGGGGCTGCTTCCACCTCCACAGAACAGCAGTGTCTGGTAGCCCAGCCTCACAGGCAGCCTGGCTGCCGGCCACCACGGGGAACAACAGGTGCCAAGAAATCTTGCCATCGCTCAGCTCCCAGCCAAGCGTGGATTGTTCCAGGCTCTGCGTGCAGCCTGGGCACTTTGTGGTTGGCACGCCTGCTTGATATTTGGAGCATGAGGCTGAAACAGCACTGACTAGGGAACAGCCCAGCTGCCAACCCATCATGCAATGCCATCTCCATGGGTGCCCATCCCATGGGCCTGCGGACCCCCAAAGAACACGGCTTGCAGCAACACCAGGGAAATTCTACTTGCTATTGGGTTAGAAACACCACTGTCATTGGCCAGCACCACCATGACACCTAGGGAAAGACAAGGACCTCCCGGGAAAACACATGGAAGAAAAGGGTGACCAGCAAGCTCCCTCCTTGGGCAGGACAGGTGTGGTAGGTTGCTCCCGAGTGCTGTGGGGCTCTCTATTGGAATTTCAGCATCATGAGGTGAGGCAAGGGTCTAATCTGTGTGCTTCCTGTTGCTCCCCAAGAACTTGACCCTGACCTAAGTACCTAGAGTCTTGTTCCATTACAGGCATATGGGAATGCGGAAAACTGGCTGTGAGCCAGTCTGTCACCTGGCTTGATCGGGGCTCAGGAGTGGACTATCATCCTCCACCTTCTATCCCTCCTCTGTCTCTCCCCCTCTCTCATCCTCTTCCTCAATCTCTTTTCCTTCCTTTTCTTCCTCTGCATCCTCTTTCTCCTCTTCTCTCAGAGCTTCACATCCTTTCCTTCCTCCACCCCCTCTTCCACTTCCTCATACTGTACTTCCTTCTCCTTCCCTTCTTCCTCTCCTCCCCCTCCTCCCCTTCTCTCTCCCCCTCCTCCCCCTCATCTCACTCTCCCTCCTCCTCCCACCTCCTCCCCTTCTCTTGCTCCCCCTCCTCTCCCTCCTCCTCCCCCTCGTCTCACTCTCCCTCCTCCCCCTCATCTCACTCTCCCTCCTCCTCCCCCTCCTCCCACTTCCCCTCCTCTTCTACCTCTTCTCCCTCTTCCTCATGCCATAAGCATTAAGTATCCCAGCTCTTTCATCCAGAACAGAGTGCTATTTATGTCTGAGATCACGGGTTTCTAAAAATAACTGCAATGGATCCCAAGCCTATAATTAATTTCTTCAATTCATTAAAAAAATCAGCAGGGTTCCTCTTTTTAAAAGCTGAATGAGGTTGGCTGAGACAGCCTTCACCTCGAAGGAAGGCAAGGGACCAAACCTCTGGGCTCTGCAGCACATATGGTCTGTGGAGAACATAGGGAGATTCAGGAGCCAGGACATGTATGACCTCAGGAGCAGAATCCATGTGTGAGATGGTGACATCAGGGTCACCAGAGGAACCAGCATCAAACATCCTGATGAGGGGAAAGTCATCTGAGCACCCGAGTTATCAAATGGGCTATGGGTACCCACAGAGGCCAGTGAGGTCCCATGTGTGTGAGGATGAGCAGGAAACAGCATTTGAATAATCCTACATTCTGAAAAGGATCGAGCATCTTGCACAACAACCAGACCTAAGGAGAGGCAGAAGGACTCTCCATCCACACCACAAAATATCAACGCTGTGCATTAGGGATCTGGTCAGTGTTTATCAGCGTTCAGCTTGTGAGAGGGTGTGGATATTCAAGGGCAACATAAGCATGTGTCCTCCGGTGGCAGCAGACCCCAGACATCTGCGTGTAGCTGTGCAAGTCCAAAACTACTACTGAATAAAAAGGTTGACATCAGTGTTGTATAGACAGGAGCTATGACCTCATACATGAACAACTGATACACTAAACCAAAGTGAGGGGTGGTCAGAGAGCACTGACTGGAGTTCTACATCCAAGGAGCCAACCAGCTCAGACCATCTGAGCCTGCCTCTCCAGGTCTATGTCCTCTCTGGCCCCTAGAGGCCACCAGAAGCCAGTTCAGAGGTCCCAGAGTCAAGTGGACTAGTTTACATGCCAGGGTTATAGCCACACTAACTTCTTCCCAAGCGTGAGGAATGGGAAAAGATGGTGTTGGCTAGTGACAGTGGAAGTATACGAACATGGGCCTAGAGCAATGCCTCAATGCTTTAGAGCAGCATTGGCTGCTCTTCTAGAAGACCCACGTTTGATTCCCAGTATCTACATGGAAGCTCACAACTGTTTATTACTTGAGTTCCAGTCAGTCCAAAGCCCTCTTCTGACCTCTGTGGGCACTGCATGTAAATGGTACACATATATACAGGTGAAACACCCATGCACATAAAATAGTTAAAGTATTTAAGCATGGAGTTGGCTCACATATCAAAGCACTGTCCCAAAAGTGAATAAATAAGAAACAGGAAGACGAAAGCTTTCTGTCCTTGAGCCAGTGACCAATGCTGGGTTTTTAAATATTCTTCTGTCTAGACAAAGCTCCAAGCACCCAGTTGCCTGGGGATATGTTGGGCTTGCAGATTTCCCTGCAGTAAGCACACAGGGAACTAATGGTGCATGATCAAGAGGCTTGGGTCTCCTTGATAGAACTAACTGAGGCATGCAGGCCAATGCCCCCTCTTGTGCATATGTCAGTAACTGTTTGCTTTATATCCACAAGGGGCGCTGCAGTGGGCCTAGCTTTGGGGGTGACTCAGAGTGAACTGAAAGGGAGGAGTAGGTAGAGCGTGGTCCTTAAGGTTACTACAGAGAATGTGAGTTCTAGGCCGGGCCACCCCTTGACAAACACTTTCTTCCCAACCCCTCGGAAGCTGTCTCCTTGAACATCAGAGAAAACAGCTTTGAAAGATGAGATGCCCACTCGGGCCTCAGCAGCTTCCAGCAGCAAGGAGGAAGAGTCCACAGCAGCCTCACATGCCTAGGTGCCCCTGTTGGTCCTTCCTCAGGAGCCTCTACTACGAACATGGCCCCCAGCTGCAGCTGCTGCGTGTCTGGGCCACTCATTGACTAGGTGCTCTGATAGCTTGAAGTCATCACCCACTTGTAGGACACTTCCAGGAACAGCAGTTCCGCTCCTGGCTTCTGCTTGGATTGTGTGGTGTTTACTTCAGTTCGCCTGGAGCATTGTGGAGCCTCTGTTGCACGGTGGGAACCTTGCCTGTGTGCTCACTCAGCCTCATGGGTATACCCACCCACTCTTCTCTGCTGGCCCAGCCCAAGCCGCTCAGAGAACAAGCACCTGCAGGCGGGGGATGGAGAAGTCTGAGCTGTGACCAGGAACGTGGCTGTGGCAGATGGCAAAGCATTCTATAATTGGACTAAGTGCAGCAGCTTACAAATACAGGCAGAGCATCTAAGAGCCGGGAGGCAAATACTCGAAGACGTGACTGCCGGCTTCCCTGCCGCCTCCACAAGAGTCTCTCTGACTTTCATTTCCCATGTTGTGGGGCTGCATGCTGGGCTCGTGTCCAGACTAAGGTGTCTTTGAAGGTAAAGGACACTTCTCCAATTAAAGACAGTGGGACATGCAGAAATCACCTGCAGAGTCGCCCACAAGCACATGGAGTCCCATGCATCTATCATGGTTGCCATAGGAACAGATCTTTATGGAAATAGCCTTGAACTTGAGGTCCAGACCCCTTGTTGTCATCCTGACATTGCCCACAAACACGGTGGTCTCCACCATACATTTTCCTGGCTGAGACTTTTCTCAGTGACAGAGAGGTGATATCACCAGGCACACTCTTCCCTTCTATCAAGAACAAATAGGCACACAGGCTAACGGCCAGTATTCTCTAAAGCCCCCTTGCAACTCAGCAGGACAGCTGTCCCCACCTCACCTACTGTACAGAAACGGATGCAGCTATGTGCTGGGGAATCAATCTTCTTCCCTTGGGGCCCCCACAAAGGGATGCTCACTGTGTTTCCTGATCAACTCCTGAAACTGGCATTCTCTTGGGTGCCTTAGGCAGAAGCCTCCCCACCTCACATACTGACCATGCACCCACTGGGAATTACAAATATCTGTAGAGCTGGTGGATATGCAGAGAGCTTTGCTGCAACACACGTCCCAACTCAGCCTCCTCTAGTGGCTATGTTGCTGATGCCACAGGGATGCAGACTACTTTTCTCAGCAGATTTCTGACTAAAGACAGTCACCCAGGTGACATCTAGGGTGTTCCACATACTCCAAAGATAACCACACCCTTAGAAGGTGTCCCCCAACTAGTGTGTGGGATGTTGCCTCCCTGTCTCTCCACAGTGGGGAGGGCTGGGCTGCAATGGGCAGGAGTTCTCAGTTATAACGTCTGAACGTGCATTGGTCAAGACTTCAAGTGCCCCTCTTTCTCGTCAGATAGGCTGATGCCTCCTCTGACATGTGGCTCAGCCCCAGACACCTGGAACCCTGAAGGGTTGCATAAAACAGGGCTCCGTCTGTGCGTTTCCTGGGTCCCAGGGGATCCATATTTATGACAAGCTCCCTGAGATGCCATGATGGTCAGTCTGAGGATCCCTCTTGAGAGCCCCTCATCTCGTGGTGAGGACGGCTACCCCTCCCTGACTTTAGTATCCACCGGCCCTTGGTCTGAGCCAGGGACCACATCAGGGAAAGTTGGAAAGAAAGAGCAGAGTAACCTGTCCCCTGTGGAAGGAGCTTGCTGTGGACTCTAGATGGATGGGATAGGAGGGCAAGCACTCAGGGGTCACACGTGAATTCTGATGGCCCATAATGGAATTCTAGGCATATTTCCAGGCCCTCCCGACCGTGCACCAGTCCCAAGAACATCAGTCCCAGCCTTTTGCCCACGGTCACCTGAATTCACAGCACAGGCAAGCAATGGGAAGACATGTGCGCAGGGCCAGCTCAGCACTCCAAGAAGGTGTTTGTGTATTCCTCTGCCCACTCCTCAGCTGGCACCAGCCTGAGGAGCCCTGATCCATACCCATATCAGGCACCTGCGTAGGGTCAGACCCTCAGGGTGCTTTGGAGGAGGAGGAGGAGGAGGAGGAGGAGGAAGAGGAGGAGGAGGAGGGTGAGCAGACCCAGGGCTCAGAGCTGCCGACGTAGGGAATGCACCACAGGGCACATGCGAGGGTGGAAAAACTACACTGAATACCTGCATGCACTCCAGAGTGTTCTGGGTGGAGAGCCAGACAAGACAATTACAGAAAGATGGCGTGAATGAAGTGGACAGTGCCCAGTACAGCCCACGGCCAAGTGGCCCTCCCCCGCTTCTGAACAAAGGCATGTCGAGTCATGGATGTTAGCATAGCTCCAAAGCGCAGGCGACCCAGCGGTGCTGTAACAGGCTGCGGTGACAACTCAGGGGGAGGTGGAAATGACATGGGCGACCAAGTCTGTGAACTCCCAGGCAACTGAAGAAAGGGACTCATTTCTAGCCAGGGGAGGTCAGGCTAAACTGTTCCCCAGGGAGGTGGGTGTCCACCTGGAGGAGGCCTGTTCCATTTTCCCACGGTGTGTGCCTTTCTGTCCTGCAACACACACACATGTCCCTCCTGATACTAACGGGAACTTTCCAAAGACCAGTGTCAATACATGGGACAGTGGCCAGAGAACCTTCCCTGTGGGAGGAGTAGATTCTGGAGGATGACACAAGAGGTGCACATGCTCTGTGTTCGGTAGCAGCTACTCCCCCAGGGAAGGGGACATCTTTCAACTACTTGGAAAGCTCCCCTTCCCTGGCAACAGGTAGCCTGGGGAACCACACAGTCAGTACGATTCACCACTATCCCAATCACAGTGTGACCACTGGCTAACTGGTCACTACGTATGAGGAATGAATGGCAAAGGCTCCTAAGGACACCAAGAGCTCAATTTCCTTCTACCTGTCTGTTATTCTCTAAGAAGACCAACACAGGACCAAAGCCACAGAGCAGGAGTGGTCACTCCCAGTGTGTCAGACCAGGAGGGGTCACTCCCAGTGCGCCATCCCAGATGATGGGACCTGGTGACTCCTTTGCTTCCACGCCCTCAGGACCACTGAGGAAGGTCTGCATGTGGCTGAGATGGCCACTCCCATGGAGACAATGATCCCAGAAGCGGCTGGTATGGCATTGACCACTTCATTCCTAGATCAGTGGCCTTCGACCTGTGGGTCTCGTCCCCTTTGGGGATTACGTATCAGATACCCTGCATGTCAGATATTTACATTACAATTCGTATCACTAGAAAATACAGTTATGAAGTGCCAATGAAATAATTTTGTAGTTGGGATCACCACATGATGAACTACACTAAAGGGTCACAGAATTAGGAAGCTTGAGAACCAATGTCCTAGACCCTCCCTTCTCTGAACCTGCAAATGTCTCTCCAACCAGAATACAAAGCTTCAGCAATGTCCCCTATGTCATCCCTCAGAGGATGGAGCCCCCCCAGGAATATAACCCAACACTGATCCTAGAAGAAACCCCTCCTCATTTCCCATTGAGAGCAGGTAGCCAAAAGGCACAGCCCACTGAGTCACACAGCATTGACCCAGGCTGTGTGGCTGAGGAAAAGTTGATTCACCTCTCTGTGCTGTTTCCTAAGTGATAGGGATAGAAATGATGGCAGTGCCTGGGAGAGGGTGGGCTTGCGAGGACAATGTGAGTGATGGGGTGCTGTGGCCATGTCTAGTTTTCTGACATGCAGTGAGTACCGTTTGCTTTCTGACATGCAGTGGGTACCGTTCGTTTTCTGGCAACTCTATAGTCTTCCAACCTCACCCACCCACCCATGCTCACCTCTAACAGCTGCACAGCTCCTTCATGCTCCTTCTTAGCTTCAACCTGAGCCTGTTCATGGTGGGGGGAAAAGAAGAGTATTTAGGAAGGAGAGGAGAGACTTGGGTCGGAAGCATGACCAGAGTGTTGCCCGCGGGTCCCGGTTTCCCAGTATGAGGGTAGATTCTGCAGGTGGCGCAGAGTCAGTTGGTTCTGATGATCTTTGGGCAGTCAGAGTCAGATAAAGGATGGACACTTAAGAATGGCAGCTGGAGGAGAACCGGCCCCGCCCCTTGCTCACCCCTGAAAGGGATGAACCAGCCAGGGCAATGCTGGAGAGCTCACCCTGGTGGTGAGGATGGGAGGGAGCTGGCGGGCTGACCAACCCAGCAACTACCCAGGCCCAGAACCAGGGCTATGGGTTGACCCACCCCAACATCCGCCCCCTCTGTGATCTGCTGGAGCATGGGAAGGAGCTGGCCCCACAGACCCAAAGCTTCAGGACCTCCATGACCCAGAAGAGGAGTCCCGGGGAGGGCCCAGCATCAGCAGTGTAGCAGATGGTGGGTGGCAGAGGCAGGCGGATCTCTGTGAGTTCGAGGCCAGCCTGGTCTACAGAGTGAGTTCCAGGACAGCCAGGGCTACACAGAGGTGGCTCTGGCCCTGAAGTTGAGAAGGAACCACGTGGGTTTGAACCAGAGCAGTGGGATCTCCAAGCGAAGCCTGAAGAGCACTGTCTTTAGTCTTCTCACCCATCCTCCTGCCTGGGAAACGTGGCACTTTCCTGCTTAAGCTCCAAGTCCTTCTCAGGTCACCTTGGCCTGAAGGAGGCACTGTGACTTTCCCATAGTTAGGGTCACACCGCACAGAAGAAGACATGTCCACATTTTACTGAAGGGATCTTGCATGAGAGCCCCTGTCTGGCAAAGGGCAGTTTACACCAAAAATTTAAATGTAATCTCATTGTTTCCTGCCCCCACTCCTCCTGAGGTTCCAGCATAGTGACAGTCCATGTCATATTTGTCTTTGTAGCCTTATCGCCTGAGGAGAGTGCCTGAATTTGTCCTACTGAAAGAAGAGATTAAATATAATCCTAGACTCCCTCCAATCAGTTTATTTGATGACTGCAGTGTCCAATTCCAGCCAGGAGCTCTGCTGGGGGATGCTGGGCAAGTAGGAGGGCCCTTTCCTTTGGGACTAAAGATGAGAAGTTGGAGCAACTGCAACCATCTTACCACCATGAGGGGAAAGGCTAGAATGGCCATGGGCCTACACATTAAAACCAAAGGTGAAGTGGGCCCAGAGGAAGGCAGAGAGAAATGAATTATGATGGCATTTGGGTTTCAGCTATGCCCGCAGCAGCTGGTTAAGGCCCTGGGCCTGACTACACCCAAAGTCAGACTGCAGTAATATAGGCAGATAAACTTTCCAGGATAAATGCTACCCACTGGTAAGAATATGGTGCTCCCATCAAGAATGGATAAACTGAGGTCTAAGGTTGCATTAGGACATGGAATAAAGAGACAGCCCAGGCCCCTGCCTCACCAGGCTGTGTGTCCAACTAAGCTGGGCTCATCGGTGGCCCCAAGCATTCTTCAGCTTCATTTATGGTTTGTTTTGAGACTAGGTTTTGTGTAGCCCAAGCTAGCCTCAAACTCACCACGTAGCTAAAGATAGACTAGGCGTCTTTCTCCTTCCACATCCCATGTGTCGGGGTGACAGGCACATGCTGTCACAGCTAATGTCTGCCGTATGCCTCATGCATGCTAGGCAAGTGCTATACCAACTGAGCTACATCCCCAGTGCCCCATTCTTCAGCTTGTGAATTGGTTTGTTTCTGGGCACTCCAGTCTCCTGCCTCATCACCTGCTCTAATGAAGAAGCCACGAGCCCATCCGGGCTCACACCGGGGTTTCCATTTCCGGAGAGTATCAGCTTGGACTTTGCACTGTCGCGGGTGAGAAGGGAACATTATTACCTCATCTCCTCCGCTGTGAGATTGTGTGTGGGCTGGACCTAGGCAAGAACTCAGCTCCATGGCATGGACTCAAAGGAGACTAAGCCCAAGATTTCTGAGAAGCACATTCACCACGCATCTCATTCTCACAGATTCCCAATGAGGGTTTAAGAGCCAGGCGAGCCGCTAGAACCCGGCCCACTAATCACACAGTTATTGAATTCGGCTCACGCATTGACACTTGAAATTGTTCCTTTCAAAACAAAACAGCAACAATGACAGAAGAAATAGCAAAATGTGGCAGGAGGGGAGGGAGAGGAACAGCCAGGAAGCAGAGAGATTTTTATAAATTCCTCTGTCATCGAGTCAAAGACAATTTTCAACTGTCAGGATTCAATCAACAAAGCACTCAGGCAGGCCTGGGAGGCCGGGCCAACTTGGCAGCAGTGACTCCATCTCTGCCTCTGGATGCTGATCAGGAGTTCATTTTCATAGGCCACTTCCAAGCTGGGCCATTTGGGCGATTGGAATAGATTGTTAAATTTAACACTCCACGTTGGCAGCTCAAGAGTCTTGAAAAAAAAATCTCAGCAGTAACTCAAGCGAGGCTCATTTTGGGGCCACTGCCAACATGGGGGAAGTGTGACCTTCGTGGAGACAGGATGCCTGCAGATGGAGGAGCATGGAGGAAGACTTCTGGCTCGCACGATGCCTGCAATGCTTTCCAGAACAGAGGGGACCTATCACCCGCAGGGTCAGCTGTCCAGGAGAGAGGGGCAGCCCACAGCTGAGGCGACAGATTCAAGACAGACACGCACACAGGAGGGACTCAGGACACAGGTATAGCATAGGACACTTGGCCCAGGAGCCATCCTGGGCCAGGGAGATGGGCGAGGGATGGAACTGAGCAGAGTCATCTTTATTGCTGTTATTTAAATTAGCTTAAACGAGCCTCTTGTAACTATTGGAGCTGCAAGGCCTCAACAGGAACCCCGAGTTGACAGCCATCAGGGCTGAGATGTTGACAAGCACGTGTCCACATCCCCGGGGCATGTCTAGGAAAACAGAAGCATGGTGCTGAAGCTTCAGGGACTTCTCAGTGACAGAACGTTTGCCTGGCATGTACAAAGTCCTGGCTTCCATCCCCAGAAGCACAAACAGCAGCAGGGGCCATGCTGTCCTGAGTCTATGTGTGATACTGGTCTGTGCATACCCCAGTCTCTACATTTAATAAAGCCTTGACTTCCACTCGAGGTGTAGAAATCAGCAAAGAACATGCTGTGCAGTGCACTCTGGCTCTTCGGCACCTCCCACTTCAGAAGCAGACCTAGGATTGAAAGCTGTCACTCCAAAGTGCAAGGCCTCACAAGGCCACACCTTTGTATATACAATGGATTGTTGCGTTGTAGAACAAGGACACAGATAGCCTGAGACTCTGAACGTCTGTAGCCACAGAAGTGGTATTCTAGAATAGCTCTGGAGAGGGCATCATGGGATCAGACTTGCACGGCGGACCTCTAGCCCAGTTGCAACCCCAAGCTCCTTAGTTGTAGCTGTAGAAGAGGAGGGCTCCACAGCCCAGGGCCCAGGAGGGCTGATTGCCACGGTCACAAGTCAGTCAGCAGATGCTTCCGGGATGTGAGGGGATGTACAATGGCAAGAATTCACCACCTCTTCCCTGTGATGAAGGCTGCGTTGGGACAGCTTCTTACCTATTCTTTGGGATAACCTGGAGCCCCAGCTCTGGAGTACCCACTACACGATGTCCTGTCCTGGAACCCTGATGCTTCCAAACCAACAAGCAGATACCTCTCCATACTGTCCAGTGTGGACCTGTGTCCTATGTCGTGCCTACAGTGTAGTTTGGTTAGGAGCAAGCTCACACAATATGACAGTTATGCAACATGCAATGACCTGGGGACCCTGAGCGGTTCTGATTACCTTCAAGGTGCTAGTCATCATGGGGTCTCCCTTGTTTTGTCATGTAGCTCTTCGTTCACCTCCATCCTGAGGTGGCAGAGTCCGGGGCTCCCCGGACACAGTATCTGCCACTCTGGATTGACTCAGTGTCTGACAGGAGAGCCAACTCTGTGTGGAAGACAGAGGTCAGCATGGGCAGTGCTCAGACAAAGTGGCTCCTGAACCTGGTGAAGAGTTGACTGTCTCATTCCAGTCCACCTTCCGGAACCTCCCTAACGCGTTTTCATTCGGGCTGTTGTTTCTAAGAAATTACAGAAACTGGCGTTTGATTTGATAGTTTCTCTTCCTCTGTCCTCACAGACGAAGCGGCATCCGTATGTCCAAAATAAAGAGCATGATGAAGAGACAAAAGCATCAAGGGAAACTGGATGACAGACAAAAGGAGATGAGCAAACAGGTGGGGCGGTCCCTTTTCTAATCAGATAGTTACTCTGCCAATATGACTCCAGGCTCCCAAGGAGCCATCTGTGGGGAAGCCATATCCTGTCACCCTTGTTAGATATTATTTGTATGTCTGCAGACTCTTTATCTGTCTCAGATGGACCCGGCCTGGGGATGCAGCTTCCAAGTTGTAATGAACAGATGAGAACAGCATCCTGCTCCCCCAGCCCTGGGGAGGAAGATAAGAGCAATATCCTGACAAGATATTGTTTCTCAGTGTGCTGGCCAACTTGTTATGACAGGCAGTAGTATTGTTGTGACAGTCCCCATGTGCTTAATGAAATCTATACCTAATGCAAGGTCTCCGATATTAACTAGAAAAAGGGGCTTCAAAATTCAGCTACCTGATGCCTCCAGCTGATAACTCTGACTGGGCAAAGCAGACAGATTTTTATCACCCCCAAGTTGGGTCATGCAGCTGAGTGTCCCAATAAGACCAAAGACCCATGACAATCGATCATTGGATGGGCATGGGACCACACAGAAGGTACAGGAGTCACCCACTACCCATCCTGACCAGCACTGAGCCAAGACTCAAACACACTGAGCCCATACCCACAGCCTAGCCTCTAATCCCATAGAAGCTCAGGTGCGGGTTATGCCATACTCCTGACACACAGTGGATAAGCTCTGCCTGCAGGGGCCAACTGCCCTCCTTAGAGAATGAGTAATAAGGGAGATGGGGATCCAGGGCTTCAGGCAAGAGAAGAGAAAGATGACAGCCAGTCAATCTCTGGTCTCCATATTCTGATTCTTCATGCCCCCCTCTCCCGGTCCCTGATCTTGCAATAGGGATCTTCCTACCTGGAAAAGAGGCAGGCCCGCAAAGCAAGCTTGGACTGAGGTAGGGGTGGGCTTCCTCAGTCCCACCCATCACAGGGTGGAAGGTATACCCTGAATCATCTGTCCCTGCTTCCTTTCTTCCTGGTGTCTCTTCTCTTTTCTCTTGGCATCTCTCACCTGTCCCCCACCCCCCCTTAATGGAATCTGCCATAAATACACCTAGGTTTACCACTTAATAACACATGTAAAAATACCACTTAATAACAGCAGCAGCTATGAACTCAAATCCTTCCATCCAATTATGTCATAACAGGCTACAACAGGAATGTACCAAACTCACACAGCCACAGTCTAAGTTCCCATGTCTTCACCAGCCACAGGCTTGGCCTGGCCTTTGCCTTTCCCAGGGACGGGATTTCATCCCAGGCCTGAATGAAGTCAGTGTGCAACCTGCTTTCCCAAAGCTAAAGCAAGACACGCCCCTGGCAGGAACTGTTTGCACGCTTTTCCTGCCACAGCCCAGCATCTGATGGGACAGCTTTGCATGGTTTATATGTTACAAGATAGAGCCTAGGGGCAGCCTAAGGGAAACCAGGACCCAGAGTGGAATAAAGGCCACAAAAGGGCTCTGCAGCCCCCAAGACACAGCCTGGTACACAGTTACAAAAACTTCCCCAGGCACAGCAGGCATGCACACACATATACATACACCTACTTAAAGCTCCCAGGTCTAGCACATACATATACCCCACCCAGGCAAGCACACAGACACAGACGCACACAAAGACACACAGATCCCCCCCACGCACACACACACACACTCACTCCTGGGCTCACCTGCTGCAGAAGCTGGATCTCCTGCTGCTTGGCATTGAGGATAGCCAGGGCTTGCTCATGCTCCAACTCCAGCTGTTGCCGCCGTTCAGCAGCCTCTCGCATATGCTGTGGGAACAGGGAGGCCCCTGAGCACCTGCTGCCCACCACCATGCACGGACAGCAGGCTTTCTCTGCCCCCACCCCCAGGAGCGGCACGACACACCCGCCTCCTCTCCCAGGCTTTTTCACTGGGAGGCAGAGAGATTGGGAAACCCTGGTCCTCAGACACCCTCCCCTGCTTTGGCTGTCTATATTCGCAGCACAGGAGAGCTGGCAGAGCTGCGGCTCAGGCAGAGGGAACCTCCTCTTCCCCCGGTGTGGCGTGGGAAGGCGTTCGCTCCTCTCCCTCTGCTTTAGCTCAGGTATTTTGCAAACACCAGACAAGGCTCCTCTCTGCTCCTGCCCAGCCTGCACTGCTTCCAGCTTCTTACCTGCATCGAAATCACATGACCCTCCACTAACACTGGAGGAGAGTGCTGTAAATATCCTTTTTTTGACCATGGGGAAACTGAGGCATGGTCTCACACAACAGGTAAAGTGCACATTTATCCAGGATCAAGACCAGAGTTCATGCCTACCACAAACCTCAGAGTCCCAATTTACACACACCGCTACCTCCATCCTCCAGTATGTCCCCCAGAGATGGTCCCAATGCACGAGATAGCTTCTCATTTGCCTGGGGACCACCCAGCCATCTTCATTAGAAAGAGTTCAAGAACTTAGGGTCTGATGCTTGCCTTGGACCTCTGATCATCACCAGCCCACCACAGAATCCCAGTCATGAGGATCAACAAGAATGGCAGAGGCTGTAGAACCTAAGCATCGTCACTTTGAACAACCACCAGCCTGGCCACAGCAGCACATATGTGAGCAAGAACCTTGTATGTGAGATGATTCCCAGCATGGAGGTTGCCGAGAACTACACGTGTGCGGGTGCGCGTTCGCACACACACACGTAATAAAACATCCATGGCCACCTTTTCCAAAGTTTAAATTTCACACATGAGTGCATGTGTGCATGCGTGCATGCGTGCGTGCGTGTGTGTGTGTGTGTGTGTGTGTGATATGTAGTATGTATATGCAGGTGCTTACACCTTTACATGCACCCTCAGAGAGCAGCGGATGACATTGGGTGACTCCCTGTATAACTCTCCACATTATTTTTTGAGACAGGGTCTCTCATCAACTTGGAACTTGCTGACTGGCTAGGCTATCTGGCCAGGAAGTCCTCAGGATCCTTCTGTATCTGCTCCCCACCCTAAACCCCAAGACTGGAATTACAAGCCATGCCTGGCTTTTTCTGGATGCTTGGGATCTGAACTCACGTCCTCATACTTGCACTGAAGGCACTCTCTCCACTGAACTAATCCCTTAAAGTCTAAATCCTTTACCTACAAGTCTGGGTTCCTTCCCAAGCAGGAAGGTTTCAACACACACCGCCTGGGTACTGGAGGCAGAAGCAAATCCAACTGCTCCCTGGAACACAGGCTTGTAGTGGCTTTCCATCTGTAGTGGACACTTCAGACCTGCTACCCTCCTTCCAGGCATCCTCTGACTTACGTGTGATGGTGATGGAGGGGAACCCTGGCACCTGGGACAGAGACCCAGCATGGCGCCTGCCTCCTTTGCTTGAACTAGTCAGTGATTTATTGTCATTTATTTTTAATCTGGCAATTGTATTGAGTCTTGGGCCTTTGTCGTTGTTTTGTTATACTATCTTCATTTAGTTGGTTTTGGATTGATGATTGATTGATTGATTGATTGATTGATTGATGACAGGATTGATAGGTAGCCAGCAGTCTGGACATGAAATTGTAATCCTCCTGCCTCAGCTTCCAGAGTGCTCATATTATACCCATGTGGCACCACGAGAGTTTGGTGTCAGGCTGGCCTGGAACTAACTATGTGCCTGGGGATGACTTTAAATTTCTGATCCTCCTGCTTCCACCTCCCCAGGGCTAAGATGCAAGTGTGAACCATCACACTTGACTGATGCACTACCTAGAGTTGAATCTGGGACCCATGCACGATAGCACATTCCCTATCAACTAAGCTACATACCCCCCATTCCCCAATGTCAGAGTTTTAAAGTTACATCATGAAATGAGAGACATGTCTCTGGGGGAAGGCAACTGACACTGTTCCCTGAACATCCCCACCTCATGGCACTAAAAGATCCATTCTCCTCAGAAACATTGTGGAGCCTGTTTGCCATAGTGGTGATGAAATCATACCCTACTGCACTATAGACCCCTGAGCGGCACCCTCAGCCCCTCACTGGGGGATTCTAGGCAGATGCTCTACGTCTGAGCCACACCCCAGCCTCTCACTGGGAGATTCTAGGCAGGCATTTTACTACCAAGTTAATCCTCCTGCCCCTTATTGGAGAGATTTCTAAGCAAGTTGTCTACCACTAAGCCACACCCATAGTGCCTCACTGGCAGATTCTAGGTACACACTCTACCACTGAGCCAAGCCTTTTGCCTGGGCTGAGCCTGTTTTCCGTGGACACAGGATTTCAGCTGGTTTGTCAACCTGGAAAAGTAAAGTCTTCCCCGGGTGCAGTGCTCAGGCACCATGACCTCTGCATCCCCTTTACTGTCTCCATAAGTCACTCCCAGGGAACTCCAGAGCTGTAATTATCCTGCACCTCCACAGACAGAAGTGATGGTTTCACTGTTGCTATGGAAATTCTCACAGGAACTCAGGATGCTGGGAAGACAGAACTCCCCAAGATATGAACAAAGTCCCATAAAGCAGTTACTATAACCTGCTCACACTGGGACTGGGCTGGGTCATTCCATCTGGCTAAAGACAAGGCAGACAGAGGACCACCAGGCGGCTATGAGAGGTACCCTGCGGATTTCCCCAGAACTTCAGGGATACCCAGCTTCCTCCACATCCTTCCCACCATCTCTGGATGACAGAACACCTGATGCTGGGTAAATAGTCGCACTGTGTTAAGGCAGCAAGGGGAAAGGGCTGCACTTCAATACAGGTGCACACTTTTCAGATATCTCCATCCATATGGGCTGGATCCTTGGACAGGAGACCCACAGGCAGTGAGCCATCTGGACCCTTGCTGCCTGATCTAGTATTGAGTCCTTCAGGTTTGACTTCCTGGGGTGGGGGCGGGGTAGGTGTGTTTTCATGGAGTCCTTCTGTCTGTCAGTGTGTCTGCGTTTGTTTGGTTCTGCCTGGCTGTGGCTCCCAGTAGAGCCTGGAGATATCTAACCACAACTACTGCAGCCTTCACTTCCCCTCTGCTTCAGTAAGATTTTATGGACCGGTAGCACAAAACATAACACATTCTTACGACACAAGGTATGGCAGATTCCCCAATCCCACACCAGCAGAGACCCTGGACACGCCCATCAGAATTCCCTGGGTTCCTAGGGAGTGTTGGAACCCCTTATATCCTTCACCAGTTCCTAATAGAATGCTTAACGATGGGAGGGTTTAGCCTACACCCTGGTTTCAAAGGCATCAGACCCTTACGGAGGAGAATGCAAGGTAGCAGGTGACTCTATCCGTAGTGAGCAGGAACAGAAGCAAAGTGACCCTGTAATGTTCCGAGGCCCACAGTGGCATACTGACGCCAAGTAGTGGAACTTACAAACAGCTCCACAATGTCCCCAAACACCATCTGGGGGCTCAATGGTTCAAGCATATGATCCTGGGAGAGACATTTCACTTCCAACCCACAGCACCCCCAAACACTGACTAGTAAGGTGACCGGCGGCTCTGCCACTAGCCCTACAAGTGGCCACAGCCACCTTGGTAAGATAATGATAGGAAGTGAGACACTGGCTGGACCAGCCACACACCAGCCCTATACCAAGTTGATGCCAAGCCCAGTGCTACTGTGATTGCTACTCTTCAACAGTCTCAGAGAGGCCAAGTTTGTTGCCTAACGCCACACAGCTAGAACCCGGCGGAGCCTGAACCCCACCAAGAATGTCAAAGCACAAAGCTAGTGCAACCCTGACCGCCACCATAGCCATCTCCAAACTCCACGAGGGGCAGGTGGGCTTCCTCCCATGCCGCGGACCCTGTGCGGCAACCGCCTTACAGCTGTTCAATTGCGCTATTATCCCAGCTAAATTCTGAGCTTCTGTTTATTTTGGAAGTGAGTGCTGCTAAATGCAGCCTGGGCACTCTTTATTTAGTGCCGGGAAGGAAGTGATTAGTGAGAGGAGGAGACCACACTCCTCACGAGGACGCAGAAGACATATTAGCCAAATGCACACACAGCTCCAGATGTGGGGCTGCAGGCAGTGGGTCCTCAGAGGTTGCAGGGGAAACAGACACACCGGCTTCCTGCGGGCTCTACCACCAGGTGGAGGTAAGTCACTCTCACCTCTCCTCGTGTTGGGGAGATGGTTCTAGCAGTAAAATGCTTGCCTCCGAAGCCTGAGGACTTGAGTTCAAACCCCCAAACCCCCACTAAAAAGCCAAGTACAGTGGTGTTTGCACATAATGCCAGCACTAGGGTTTGCTGACCAGCCTAGACTAATCAGAGAGCTCTGGGTCAGTTAAAGACTCTGTCTCAAACAAAAAAAGGGGACAATGCCTGTATTACTCGGGGCTCTCTAGAGGAACAGAACTTACAGAATGAATCTATGTATCTATATATAGAAGGGTGATTTGTTAGAATGGCTTATAGACTGTAGTCCAGCTAATCCAACAATAGCTGTCTACCAAAGGAAGGTCCAAGAACCCAGTAGTTGTTCAGTCTGTGAGACTGGATGGCTCAGCTGGTCCTCGGTATACGCTGGAATCCCAAAGAAGTAGGCTCTAATGCCAGTGAAGGAATGGGCTTGTCAGCAAGAGCAGGCAAAGTGAGCTAGCGTGGTAGTTAAAGAAGGAATGCCCCCCCAGGCTTATGTGTTTGACTGTTTGGTCCTTAGGGAGTGGCACTATTAGGAGGTATGGTCCTGTTGAAGTAGGTGTGAGCTTGATGGAGGAAGCATATCTCTGTGGGGGTGGGCTTTGAGGGCTCAGAAGCTCAAGCCTGCCGAGTGGTTCACAATTCACTTCTGCTGCCTACAGATCAAGATGCAGAA